ATTGGCTACTTACTTTTATTTAAAAATATTAACCCTCTTTCCTCTTCTTTTTAACTCTTTATATTCCTCTTCTTTTTAAAAATCCTTTCTAACCGTAAAGTGATTATTATCGTCTAAGCTGTCGAGTGGCCGCCCCTAAAAAATAAGGTTTCTCGCCTTCTTAAGCCTTTTCTCGAGAGGCAAGAGCGATTTAAAAGTAAAAAGAAGGCAGGTGTATATATTTAAACACAAATCTTTTATTTAAAACAACAAAAAATATTTTTAAAGAAGGTTAACTTGGAATTATTTATTTAGTAAATTATTTATTCGAAGAATGAATTTTATTTTAATTTTACATGCATAACTATCGTCATAATAAATTCTAAGTAATTTGTATATCCACCAAGATTTTGAATTTCTTTTCTAACTTCCATTCTATATTTATCATTTTTTTAAATTTATTTTTTAATGATAATTCAGTAATTATGAAAACAGACTTGGCAATATAGTTGATTATTGCCAAATCTACACGTTGACTGCACGTTGATTAATATACATATTAAGCGACATATTATTAAAGAAAAAAGTAAATAGTATATTTAAAGTCTCTTTTTATATTGTAGGTAACCCGATCCCGTCTCCCAGGTTTTTTCTTCTTCCGAAAATCACCATTATATTGAGATCTATTTTAAAATAAATACAAGAGAAAATTTAATTTTTTTATTTTTTTATTTAAAATTATTTAATTACTCCTTCAATACATTAATTAATATAAAAATATTTAAACGATGAAAACTAAAAATATTTTTGACCTAAAAATAATAAGAAAATGCGCGAAATTGGCCTAAAAATATTTTTCTGTTAGAAAATAATTTTTTGGTGTCTTTTAAATAAAAATATGGGCAGCTGTCCATTTACCCTCTAAAGTATAATTAACTTGGTGGTTACTACTATTTATAACAATCCTTTCCATTATATTAAAATGTATATTTTACTTCCATTATCCCTTCTTCTCAATACAAGAAAATTAGGAAACGGAAAATTAGGAAACATCAACAATTTTCTATCAAAAAAAGTGAAAAGTAGGACATTATTTAAAATAATAATTTAAAACTACTATAAGTTATGAAATAAAATTTTAAGCAAATCTATTCAGTTCAGTTAGATAATATTCGAGAAGCGGAAATAAATAAAATAATCTTAAACTAAAGAAAGTTTAGCAAAAGTTTAGCCACCGGGCACGATTCAAACATTACAAGAGCTCTACATATACAAGAGCTCTACCACAGCTACCGGAGCATCGACTGCTTTCTTTTATCCTTCTAGATCACTTAACCCCCGCCTAAGCGTTTTAAATGCTCTTGAATCATCCTTACACTTATATTTTTATTTTAAATTTATTAAAAATATTTTTATTTAACCACAAAAAACTACAATACTAAACATTTCAAGAGTAAACCCAGCTAGTTTTGGCAATGATTTGCTATTAGTTTCTAATCTTAAAAAAGCTTTTAGAAAATAAAATGTCCAAATAATTGTTCCTTTTCATATGTGTTACCCTAAATTAGCCAAAATTAACTGAGCTTCTTAAATATACAAAGATGGGGGAGTAAATATACATTTATATTTACATATATATACCTATAGAACAATCAAAAATACATACAATTTATATATAGAAATTATTAGAATATTTATTTTATTTTATTTTTTATTGAACATTATCCTGCACAGAGTCTTCACCATTTCCCATTTGAGTCATCTTCGATACTTCATTAGTACGTTGAGTAGGTCCGATAGTTTTTATTTTGCCTTCTTTTGTACCGGGTTTTATATCTGTTTTTGGTTTGATTCCCGGTTTCGGTCCTCTTTTCTTTGTATTTACAGCTGGAAGGGATATTTTTGTAGTGATTGTCTCATATTTATCTTCTGTTTTGACTTTTCTTTTTGGCTTAGGCTTTGCTGGTTCTTTCAATTTTGGATCTGAAGGCTTCTTTGCAAGTGAATATGGAGAAGCTTTTTTGTCTTCTTCTTTTGGTTTTGAACTTTTCTTTCGACAAATGAAGTAGATCAACACACTTGCCAAAACTGATAGAAGACAAACAATGAATACAGTGACAGCAATAATAATCCAAAAGATTTTTGATGAAGAACTACTGGAAGTAGAAGTACTTCCCTCTTCACCGCCTTCTATAGTTAGCAAAGCAAAGTCTTTAACAGACTGAAAAAATAAAGGAATTTTTTACAAAAATTCAAAAATCTCTTACAAATTTAATATAAAGACTACAACCAGCTTCGTGTCCATTATCATTTATAGGCGAGGCAGGTAACGGAAGAAGATGAAAAACAAACAAATTCTTCTTTTCTGGATCAGGACTTGTATCTTCCTCAATTTCCCAAATGTTTAGAGAAACAATACTTTTCTCTTTATTTTCAAGACAAGAGAAGGCATTGTTGAGACTAATCTTCTTTGCTCCTTCTTCTAAGAGATTTTTGAGAAAAATTTTGACTCCTTTTCTGGGTTCCTTAATTTCCATCTCAATTTCAGAATGTTCCCCATTCTCCTCATGTTTTAATGGAAGAAGAGTATTTTGAAGTTCCCCAACTAAAAATTTAAAGTTTTTTTAGAACACACACAAATTTATTTACTTGGTTTGGCAACAAAGGAAATACTTTCATTCGTTCCTTCCCATCCAACTTCAAGTCCCGTCCTTGTAATACATTTATTCTTATCTCCACAGCCTTTACAATCTTTTTTGGAAATTATTGGCCCCGAATGATGTTTTTTGATTTCTTCATTTGTTAAGCCATAAACAAAAGGAATTCTGAAATATTTTTAGAAAAATTTTAAGGAAAAAATTTATTTCTCACAAATTGTCAACTGCAGAGTCTGTCAAACATTCACCGTCATAATTCATTCCAACTTTGAATTTGATACCACTTTTCTTATTTGTATTGGTAAGCAAATCAACAGTACAACCATTACCATCATAATGAATAATGCTTAAAGAGAGAAGAGAATATTTTTTAAAGAAAATTCCTTACATATCCTCTTTTCCCAACCCAACATCACATCCACGATCGTCAAAATGCTTCTTGTAATGTTTGACATCTCCAGGGGTTTTGACAACATTAGAACCTTCAGCAAGAATAACTTTGTTGTCTTCATCCAATTTGTGTTCTGCCAGGCCAACAATTTTGCTTTCAGATTCTTTCACTTTTTCCTTTGCGTTGTTGACTTTGAGAGGAAAAAGAAGAAGAAAAACAACGAGCGCCATTGTAGCAGAGGATAAAATTTTGTTGTTGAAGAATTTCATTGTTGAATGTTGTTTTGAGAGAAAATTGAGATGATGTTTACAACAAGGATCAAAACAAACATGTCTTTTATACTATTATTGAGTATTAGACTTTTATGGCTTCGGCTCTTGCGCCAGAACCCGTAGCTTCATCCACCAGCTTTGTTACGAAAAGCCAAGGTGACTCCTTCCATCTATCAAAAGGGGGCATGGCTCCACAAAAAGGAGGCAAAAAAGGGAGCGAGATCGGCCAGAAAGGGGAGCAAATTCTCCCTAAAGGTGACAAAAGGGTCACCTTGATGGAAACTCAATCCAAAAATTCCTTGGAATAATATATTTATTTTAGAAGTCTTTTTTTACTAAATCACGTAAATAAGGGGAACTTTAAAATAAAATTAGAATAAAATCATTTTTGGTTAAAATCTGTCTTAAATTTAAATTTCCTTCTCTCCTATCCAAAAAAAATTCAAAATATTAAAATATTTATTTAAGGATGTCAATAACAACATAAATTAAAAAATAAGGCAGTATTTAAAATTAATGAGAGACAGAAAATTATGGCTTAATTTTTATGAAAATATTTTTTGAATTAAGTAATCATTTCTTAAATTTATATAGACAAAACAAACAATCCCAGAGATATACAGTAGTCGACATAAAGATAGGGACAAGAGTATTTTAAATGAAAGTTAACTATTTTTCAGTCAAAAAATACGTTCTATATATCAATCGAAAGCTCTTTTCGTATCTCAGTTGACATGTTTCTGCATTTTTCATGAAAATGAAAATTGGCTGAAATAATCCGGATCTACCGGATATACCAAATCCTATATCCTCGGAAAAATTTTTCGGAAAATATTTGACAAACCCATTTGATAAAGCATATTTTTCTGAGTATTTTCCACAAAACTGCTTAGAAATATCTTTTTCCTGACCAGAGATATGATTTTTTGAAAATCGCATTTTTCACTTAAAAATTGAATTTTTTGCAAAAATAGGCTAAAAATGCGATTTTCAAAAAATCATATCTCTGGACCGGACAAAGATATTTTTAAGCGGTTTTGTGGAAAATACTCACAAAAATATGCTTTATCAAATGGGTTTGTCAAATTTTTTCGGAAAAATTTTTCCGAGGATATGGGATTTGGTATATCCGGTAGATCCGGATTATCTCGACCAATTTTCGATTTCATGAAAAATGCAGAAACATGACAACTGAGATACGAATAGAGCTTTCGATTGATATATAGAACTTATTTTTTTAATGAAAAATTAAGAATTTAAATTTAAATTACTCTTGTCCCTATCTTTATGTCGATGACTGTATGTATATGTAAAAATATATAAAACTGTTAAGGCATTTGAGAGAAATTGAGAAGTAAAAATTAAAAGAAAGATGTAATTTTAATTAAAAATAATTTTTATATAAACGTTTTTTCTTCAAAAAAATTTCTCTTTTTTTTAAATTACATCTCTAGTATTAACAAATAAATAAGGGATTGAAAAAATATGTAGAAGACAAAAAATTAAATTTCCCCAATTGGCAAAAATATGTATATTAAATGTTTTTTTGGAAAAGCAAAGACACAGACAAATTCAGGAAATTAAATTAATTATGAGTTCACACTTATAGTTTTAGTAAATATTATTTTTAATTTTTTGGAGAATTTGTCTGCAATAGAATTAAATGTGTTAATTAATTTTTCAGAGCTCTTTAATTTTAATTTATCGTTGACCTTCTTGTTCTAAATTAATTAAATTGTAGCAACGAGTAGGAAGCGAATCTAAAAAATAAATAATCATTTAAAATTAAAAATAATTTTTAAAGAACAATTAGGGGAATAAAATAATTTAAAAAAAAGTATATATGTATCTAGTAGAATGAGCTGGGTCTGGATCCAGGCCTAGATTTTCCTGTACCCAGAGTCTAGGCCCAGCATTTTTTGACCTTGCTGGGTTTTTTCTGGACTACAGGCCCAGGATCCAGCCCAGGTCAATAAATCAAAACCGGAACCCAGGAACAGGCCCAGGCTTTTCAAAAATCTCGATCTCTAATATCTAGTATTTATCTCGTTTTGGAGTGGATTATATAATCAATCTTTCAAACCCCCACCTCTAATTCCTCTCAAATTTTCCAATTCTTTAGTTAAATAATCTATTTGTCTTTTATCAGCTAAAGCATCAAGTTCAACTCTTTTCATTCTTTCACGCATTTTTTGTTCCTTTTCATTTGCAATATATTGCCGTTCTGTGTCTTCCAAAATTGTTTCTAATTCAGTAAGTTGGGATTCATTAACATTTTCTAGTGAATCTAAAAAAATATATTTTCCTTTAATTTTTAATTAAATATTTACTAAGTTGATTTAATGCAGATAATAATATTTTTTCAGATTCTGTCAAATTATCCTGTAAAGTTCTTGCCATGCTTTCAGCCAAATTTGCTTTCTTTGCAACTTCATTAGAACGATCCATATCAGAATTTGCCTAGAAAGTTTTAAAAAATATTTTTTTATATTTTTATCGAGGTGAGAAATTTTGGAAATTAGGGGAAAATGAAAAGGGAATTTTAATTATCAAGAGATGTGTTAAAGAATTATAAAATGAGAATTTATCGTAAAACTTTTATTAACTACCATGGGTAATTATTGTTTCGACCTTCTGCTGGAGGGAGTAATTAATCAAGGGAGGGTAATTATACGAGGTTTGAAATTTGAACGCGTTTTAGGACATTTATTTTGGGGTGATTATTGTTTCAATCTATCGCTAGATGGGGCGATTAATGGAAGTGGGGTAATTATTTGAGGGAGGGCAATTAATATACAGGGTGACATAAAAGAAACTGCACACCGTATTTTTGAAATAACTTTCTTCAAATTGAAGATAATGAGATCAAATAAGGCTTAAATAATAGAGAAATGTCTGGAGAACAATTATAATTAAGAAATTTCGAAATACCCACCCTGTGCTCGGATAAAGAGTTCAAGGCGCTTGGAAAAATTTTGGGCAAAAGTTCGCACCTACATGGTTGGGATTTTCTCCCATTCCTGGGCGAGTGGTTGACTAAGCGACTCAAAACTTCTGTTTTATTAAGAACAGACCCTTGCCTTCAAACCAGAATAAAAATTCAATCCAACGGATTCAAATACGATGAGTACGGTGTCATTATTTGAGATGCGTTAAAACCGGGTAAATTGGCTGCACACCAACCCTGCAACTTAAAGATCTTATTAAAAGAAGAAGAGTTCTGATGAAGATCCCTTCCCTACGCCAAAAGTGGCTTCGGATCCAAGGCTGTAAAACACCATGAAGGATTTCCGGTAAATCCACGAAAACCCTCAGGATTCACGAAAATCGGGGGATTTTGACCCTTTTGCAAATAACAAGCTATATCATTAAAGAAAAAATGTTTTGGAAATAAGTAATAAGTGGATAAGAAAGAGGAGACTTTTTTGCCCAAGATAAGTCACTTTTATAATTTTGACATGATCAGTTCATAAAAAAGTTATTTTTTGAAAAAAATTTTTTTGACTTGCGAACTTTTCCTCAATATTTTTTTCCGCGCCTTTTACTCTTTATCCAAATAAGGGAGAGTCTTTTCGAAAATTCTTGACAATTTCTATTCCTTATTTATTTCTCTATCATATAAACTTTATCTGAGCCCAATATCTTTGATTTGAATAAAGTTATGCCAGAAACAAAGTGTGCAGTTTCTTTTATGTCACCCTGTATGTTATACGGCATGTGGAAATAATTAAAATTTCCCATAAAATTAAATATCATATTGTTAATCTTCAAGATCCAAACCCGAAGAAAGTCCGGGTATTCGGGAATTTTCGGGTCGTATCGGTCCCGTTTCCGTGTATCCATAGATTTTCTAGAACCCTTCTTCCCTCCTCTTCCCTCCCCTTTTTTACCTCATTTTCAAAATCTTTAGTTGTAGTAGATGTTCTATCAATATCTAATTGTAAAGTATCTAATAAATTTTTAATTTCTTCAGATTTTTTATTTGTTTCTTCAGCATTTTCTCCTAATTTTGTCGATTCTTTTTCTAAATTTTCTGCTTTTAATTTCGCTTCCTCGGCAAAATTTCTTGCTTCCTCAGAATTCCTTCTAATGTCTATTAAAGCTAATTCCGCCTCCTTAGCTTGTTCTTCAACAGAAGTTAATTCGTCTTGAATTTCTTGAACACCAGACAATTCATTTAGAGCGTCAGAACGGGATTGCTCGATTTTTCCGTGAAAATCTATTTTTTAATTAAATAATTAAAACTTTATTTTAAAATAATTAACCGGTCTTTTATTAAATCTAATTAAGTAAATAGTTAGGGACTATACCACAGAAAATTAAAAGGAACAAAAATTAAAACTACACAGCTTCTATAATAGGGGTGTTAATATTCAAAATTAAATTTTCGGTTGTTGACTTTTAGATATTTCAACGAGAATTTAAAATTAAAAAGTGAGGGAATTGATAGAGACGTCCAAGACTCTTGTTCTTGAGAATTGATCAAGACTTTTCTTGAGTTTTTTTCGGTCTTTGTCTTGGGGTCAAGTCTACCCTATGGAACCAAAAAATTGTCTTGGGTCTTGTTAATTTTTGGTCTTGGGGTTAGTATTTGGTCTTGAGTCTTGGAAAATTTTCAGTCTGAGATATCTCTAAGAATTAATTTCAATTAAATTTTTAAAGCTTTCAAAAATCACCAGAAAGAGCATCATAAGATTCTTTAGCATCATTCCATATTTTTGTTGCCAAATTAAAAGCTTCGTGTGTCCGTTTATGGAAATTATCAATTTCTTCAAATTGTTTATCAATAATATTTTGTTTTTCTTTAACTTTTTCTAATTGGTTTTTAGAATCAATTAATAACTGTCCACTTTCCTCGTATAATTGTGCATGTGTTGTTGATCCCAATTCGACTTTTTTAAGAGCTTCTTCCCCATTAGAATGAACAGTATCAGATTGGGTACGAAAAGAGTCGGGTAAAATATTTGGGAGGCGAACACTGAAGAAAAGAATATTTTTTAATTTTAAAGTGAAAAGATGAGACTTTTTAAAAACTCCACTTTGAGAGAATTAAAAATTAACAATAAATAAACTTTTAAAAGAAAGTAACCCTTCGGGGAATCATTCGTTCATTCCAGAAATTAGATAAATTTTTTAAGGTGAGTGACCTTATTGTAAACTTAATTAGCGTCATGAATTACCAGATTAAGTATTCTAAACATTATTTTTCCTCCTCTATTTGGTAGAGAACCTTCCCTACCAACCTTCTCTACCAAATAAAGGAGGAAAAATAATGTTTAGAATACTTAATCTGGTAATTCATGACGCTACTCTTGTATTAGCCATAATCAACCCAGAAATCCTTCCAATTTAACCCTGTTCTCTCACCTTTCCACACTACTCAAAACCCTAGCAGCATCATCATGTGTTTTATTAGTTTCAGCACTTTGTTCCAAAGCCAAATGTTTTGTGCTATTTAAACGTTTTTCCAATTCATTAACTTCTGTCTGAAAAGCAGCAATTCTTTGAACACTACTTGATGCCCCAAAAATAGCTTCATTTGCATCATTAAGTGCTTGCCTAGTTCCATTCCTTACTTTTTCTGACATTCTGAAAATTTCTCTTTTTCGTTGTTCTTGTTGATCGGCAAGGCGTTTAGCTTCTTCAGCAAAGTCAGAAAGTTGTTGACTTTTTTCGCCATAACGGTCAGCTGCTTCCTTAGGAAATAAAAAAGGGGAATTAAGGTGAGAGTTTTGATACCCATTTTTAATTAATATTGATAGACTATATGTACATATATAGACTATATGTACCCCAATATTATGAGAATTACGGGGAGTGAACTGAAGTATTCTCAGGATTAGGGAGGAGTTAAGCTTCTTATCTCAACTACCTGTGCACTAGCCAAATGTTGTTCTCCCTGTGTTTGCACATAATTAATCCCAACATTTAATTCTTTTGATGTTGCTTCTTTTTCATTGCTAAAACGTTCAAGTTGTGCTTCAATAATTGCTGAATTTGTGTCTATTGAACGTAAATTATCCCGGACATTTTCTAATAAATTGCCAGATTCAGAGAATTGTTCTCTGATGTTAATAACGTGGATTTGGGTTGCTTCATCATTTCCAGCTTTAAATTTAAAAATTATTAAAAGTGAGGGGTGTCTATGTGAGAAGGGCTACGGAAAATTTAACAAAAGAAAATATTCTACTTACAAAATTTCTGTCCAGCCTTCGTTACAAGAGAGTCTACATCTTCTTTCACACTTCTTACCCGATCATCAAATTCAGCATCATTTACAGTAATTGGATTATTTTGAATTTCATCTAAACTTTCACGAAGACCCGCCATGCTTTCGTTTATTGAATTCTTTCGAGATTGAATTAAAGCATAACAATCATCGCAAGCTGGACATCTTTGGCGAAGATTGTAACGATTCTAAAGAATTATTTTTTGGTAAAACCAATACTACACGAATTAAGATAAAGTTCAAGGTCAGATACTTTCAGGGTCAGTCACCCCTATTAAAAATAAATTCACGAATCCTCCCGGGATGTTTAAATTTAGAACTCAGAGTAAATAATTTAAATCCAACTCACTTCCGAGCATTTATCACAACGTCTCCCTTCAACATCTTGTCTACAAAGACATTGTCCTGTATGTGTGTCACAGTCCAGCGATTCGGCACCAATAGGGTCACAATCGCATTGTTTGCAGCCATCCAAATTAAAACCAAAATGTCGAGGGGCACATTGATCACATTTTCTGCCTGTAACACCAGTTTTGCAGAGACACTTAAGAAATTAAAATTAAAAATTAAATTAATTTATCATTCACCTGTCCAGTAATTAAATCACAAACACCAGCATCCAAACTTCCCAATGGATCACATCCACAAGAATGGCAACCACTCCCAGAAGATATATTATAGAATCCCGGTTCACATTGATCACACCGTTGACCAATTACTTTAAATTTATTTTTCCTTTTTAATTTTTAAAATCTCAACAAAACCATTTGGTTGACAATCACATTGCCCATCAGATTGTCTACATTCCAAAAGTGAATGATCGTGGGTTGGTCGTAATGTTCCAGGCACATAACAATTACATTGTTTACAATCTCCTTTAATCTCTGCTAAAGCATTTCCCCAAAATCCAGGTTCGCAACGTTCACAATTCCAACCAATTGTGTGATAAATACAACTTTAAACAGAAAAATTGATAAATATTTAAAAGCTATTAAAAGATAATCTACAAAATTTAAGATTGAGAAAATTAAATTTAAACGGGGGTAGCACCCCGACCACGACTATTTTTTTGGCAGAAACCCCCACCCGAAGGCTCTACCCCGCAAACCCTGATCCTCGACGATCCCTCCTCCGAAGGCTCGGGGTGCTACCTTACCTTAAACAATTGTTACAAAATATCTTTAGGATTTAATTTTAACGAGAGTCAATCAGGTAATTATAAAAAACTCGTGAAGTTCGCTAAAATTGTTTGCAGTGGTTATTATGCAACTCTCAAAATATTCTAAAAAATGTTTCACGTTCGCATAACCCTCAACTAATTATTATTTCAATACTACCGTTTGCATTCTCCAGTAACAGTATCACATTTGCCGATAGCATTTAAATCAGTATTGTTATTACAATTCTAAAAATTAAAAAAATTTTTAATTTAAAAAACCAAAACATACACATTTTTGACAAGCAATTCCATTAAAAGGATTGCCAAAATATTCTTCTGCACAAATTTCACATTTCCTTCCAGTATATCCTTTAAATTAAAATATTTTTTAATTTAAAAATTCTTTTATTTCCCCCACCCTCAGGGCAATCAGTACAATAAGTTCCATCAGACACAATAGTGCAAGGACCTCCTTCTGGACAGTCACATCTTTTAAAAAATGAATTTTTAAAAATAAAATATATTTTTCTAAACTGTTTGCAATCATCAGGCGTTCCAGCCAAAGCATCTCCATAATATCCACGAGCACAACTTTCACAAGTATCTCCTGCTGTGTTATGTTGACAAATGCAAACACCTGATTCTGCATCACAACTAGCTATAAAAATTTAAAAAAATATTTATATTTATTGTGGGGGAAAGGGTAATTATTAATTGAGACGATAATTTATGGGTTTGGGGTATAATAATTTGGGAGAGGAAAAAAACTAAAGAAGAATCCTGAACGGCCGAGGCGGTGTCGAGAACGCAGATTTTCTATTCGAGATCGGGGTCAACCCTATGAACATCTTTAGAATTTCATAATTAATTACTTAAAGTTCAAAAATTTTAGTTTAACAGCCCCTAATATTTATTTTTCTATAATATTCACTTATTATAATTTTAATATTTTGCAAAAATTTCCTTACAAGAATGATTGTGGCATTCACAAGGAATACATTTATCTAAAGGACCACCAAATTTGTTAACTCTCTTATATCCATGTGAACAAGATTCACAAAACTGTCCAACAAAAGCATCAGAACATTTACATTGTTCTACCCAATCGGCAGATTCAGTCTCCCCATATTCTGCTGGTGTTAGACTTGCTGTTCCGATAGAAAAATTGGAGAGAAAACCAACATCTCCCTTCAAATTGTAAATAAAAAAAGAATAAAATTATTTTAGAAGTTTAATTAAAAATAAATCCTTATAATATACACCCAATATAAGCGACTCCCTAGATAATGGGCAGATCGAGATTTGTTGTGTTTATCTTCTAGTAAAATTACACTTTCAGAGATAAACCCCAATATATGTAATATACAGGTCAGCTATGTATATCGAAGTCGTAATATAGAGGTCTTCTAATTTTTGCGTACTTGCTCATAAAATAATTTTTAAAAATTTCTTTTACCTTAGAAAATGTTCCTCGTAATTTAATAGCGCTAATATTATAGAGAGCGGCAATAAAATCAGTTTCTCTCAAAGTTGGACTCCATTGAAGTGAGGGATTGGAATGAATACGAAAACGATAATGTTGTTCTTGTGTTGCACTGGGTAAAGGATTTCCTTGGGCAAATATTGGTAAAACTAATTCTTGACCGTTGGCACCGACAATTACAATATCTTTTTTACTTGGACCTGGATTTGCCTAAAAAATAAAATTAAATAATTTTTCTTTTTTATTAGTAATTTATTGAGCAAATTTTCTTTAAACTATTATTTAAAATTTGACAAAATGAGAGGAATAATTTTTTTATATTTGTAATTCATTTTTCAATATTAAATAAAAAAGAATTTACAAATGTTTTAAAATCGAAACTCTAATTTTAAAAGAATAAAAGTTAGAGAGGCAGAGTAAGTTACTCTACTCTCGTCTTTCATTCGACTTTTAGATAAATGTCTTTTAGTCCATTAGAGTATTGACTCTATACATTCATTCCTTTTTTAAAATTAATTAGAAATTGAAAGATATTAATTACAGAATTTTGTGTGAAAAAAAAAACAATATTTAAATTTACTAACTAGAATCTAAAAGATTTTCAAAAAAATATTTTTAATAACTTCAATTTTATAAGTTTAAAGCTCTCTCCCCTTCCTCCTTCCTTTTATTTAACATTTAAATTTTAAAATTAAATTTACCTGTTGTACACGTAATGTAAATTCAATAAATTGATTGTATATTTGCCTTTGATCTCCCAAAAACTTTTCCGGAGTGTAAAAATAAACGGGAAAATCATCCAACTGAAAAGTTTAAAGAATGTTTAAATGTATCATTTAATTATTTTTACTTGGCTAACAGCTGCAGCTTTATCTAATTGTGCCCATTGAACATCTTCAGGGCGAGCAGAAGAAGCCCCCGTCCATTTTTCCACATCCTCATTGAAATGAGAAGAAATATTGACAGAATAAAATCCATCGGCTGGAGAACAAATGGAAGAATGTCCAAAACAAAAACAGGGGGTACACCCAAATGGGTTTTTGGCTGATAATTGGAAATGGCCAGGTTTACATTGAGAACAGGTACGGCCTTCTACATTCTACAAAAAAATATAAAGTCATATTCACTTTTTTAAAATGAAGTTTTGTTTGGCTATACATATTTCCTTTCAGGCTTAAACAATTTTTGGAGGGTCTGAACAAAAAAATTATACATAATTTACTTAGGTTGTAACATAAGTTTTGATACCCGAGCATGTTTTTCGACGAATACTTTATGGATATGGATGTTCTATATACCATTCGAAAGCTTAATTCGTTTCTCGTTTGACATGTTTCAGCGTTTTTTAAAAAAATTTAAAACTTCTTAGATATACACTGATAAATGGGATATAGTCGGATATGCCAAATCCGGATCTGGCTATATAAATTTTTTACAAAAGATCTAACATAAAATGATTATTCACAATAATTTTAGAAGCTAGAATCAAAAAAAATCAGAGACAAATCTTTTTTCTAACCCAAGATATGAATTTTTAAAAAACGGGAATTTTTCACTTTTTTGTAAAATTATTTGGTCGCTAAGAGCAATTTTTCTCATTTTGTCACATTTTTGACAAAAATGTTAAAAAATATGTGATTTTCAAAAAATCATATCTCTGCTCAGACACAAAATTTTTAAATTTTGTTTTTTTATCCTAACTCAGAAAAATCCACGGAATAGTGATAAATTAATTCATCTTTTGTAAAAAATTTATATAGCCAGATCCGGATTTGGCATATCCGACTATATCCCATTTATCAGTGTATATCTAAGAAGTTTTAAATTTTTTTAAAAAACGCTGAAACATGTCAAACGAGATACGAATTAAGCTTTCGAATGGTATATAGAACATCCATATCCATAAAGTATTCGTCGAAAAACATGCTCGGGTATCAAAACTTATGTTACAACCTAAGTAACATTTCTATTAATTAATTTATTCTAATTTCCTCCATTTCTTTACCTCTTTACACGTGCAAACTCCATCATTCGGTGAACAACTCGGTGTGTTATTAAGAGATCCAGAAACATCACATTTACAGTCTTTACACCCAGCTGAACTAAACCCATAAAACCCAGATTCACATCTATCACAAAATTGTCCAGTCACTCCTTTAATTAATTATTTAATTCTTTTAAAAATTAAAAAAAAATCACCAGGTTTGCAATGACATTGCCCTTTTTCGTCACACTGTCCCCCAATAGAACCAGTTTCACTACAATGACAAGGACGACAATAAAGTTCATTTTCATGTCTCCAATGGTTTGGAAGGCATTGTTCACAATGAGGGCCCTTTTGAAAAAAATAAATTTTTCCAGATTTTCTCATTAGATACTTGTGTATTTCCAGCACAATCAATGCAATGCCCTCCATGCCCAGTTTCTTCAAAAAGTTTTGCATCAAAAAAACATCTTTTCGATAGTCCACTACAATTACAAGGTAAACATTCATTTGCCTCCATTGCTGTTGCTGGACGCCATGGGCGATCAAGATAGAAAGGAGCACATTCTCCACAATCAATGCCTGTAGTGTTGTGTTGACAATCACAAACCTTTTTTAACAAAAGATTTTGGATAATTTAGGAAATATTTTTTTAATTAAAAAGAAATCTGGTTACTCCAAATTATGGGGATAGACAGAAAAAGTTTTTATCAGTTTTACTAATCTCAGTTAATGGGAAAATTATCCAACATGGATTTTTGGCATCTTTAAAAACGTTTTAGATGCCTTTTCATGATTAGCATGACCATTATTTCATCACAGATTAGTTCTTTTTAATTTAAAAAGCAACAAATTATTATTTTTATACCACTTAACCACAAGCAACTTTATTATAATTTTATTTATTTTGTTTAAGTTTTTACTCAATAAAATTTAATTTTTCTAACCAATTGTTGAGCTACTCCCTCTCCCGTTGATTTAGTACATTTATTTGCATGTCCATTACATTTACACCGCCCACCAACAGCAAAATCACTAATTCCATAATAATATGAGCGTAATACTCGATTATCTCCGAATATTTCATCCCCAAAAGTATTCATTCGAACTAAACAAATTCTTATTTCTTCTGCAGTTACCCAATCCTTTTTAAATTTAAATTTAATTAATAACTTTTATTTAATCACTTTCCAGTCTCTAAATTATTCCAACTCCTTTATTTTTTAGAAGTGGGAGGAGTCAAAATTAGGGGGTTTTAAAATGGTGGAATAATTCAAAGAATTAATAACTTTTATTTAATCACTTTCCAGTCTCTAAATTATTCCAACTCCTTTATTTTTTAGAAGTGGGAGGAGTCAAAATTAGGGGGTTTTAAAATGGTGGAATAATTCAAAGAAATATTTAAATATTTCCATACTTGTAGCACTTCACTTTCTTCAAAAATTTCAGAAGAAGGCCTTCCCTCCAAAGTAGAAAAAGCAATATTTCCCCCAGTAAGTGGGGAAATATCAGAAAATTCTCTCGTGCATTGAGCCATAGCTTCGTTACCAGGAAGTATCGGTGCTTTCTCGGGTAATTTAAATGTTGAACGACAAGAACCGCTTAAATAATTGAAGTTTTTGAAAACATTTTAGTTTTGACTCATATAAGAGAAAAATAAATTCATTAAAGTTTTGATTAGAATGTTTCTCATTTTTAAATAAAATATGGATTTATACCCAAAATTTTAGTTTAATGTCCATTTCTAGAGTTATCGATTCCTCGAAATTCTTCGGATATCTAAAACCGAACCGAAAAATCCTCGGTTTGGTTCAGAACCGACATTCTTTCGAAATGATTAATGTGTAATAGCTTCATAATTTCATTAATTTTATAATCAAAAAATTATTTATTTTATACCTCTTCCCTTATAGTTTTTTCTCGAATTATAATTTCCAAATTACCTATAATATTGCCAAGGTATCCAATCATCAGTATTTTTAACTTTTTTGTAAATAACAAAACTTTCAGGACGTGGAGAAACAAATTTTAGATGAACATAAGTTATATCAAAACGTTTAAATAAACGAAGAGTTAAATTAACTGTTTGGGGATATTGCATTCCCTCAGCCATTGTTTCTGATTGCCAAAATGTTGCGTTTTCGGGATTGTTAAAATCTTTATTTTTTTAAATTTTTTCAAACAAAAAAAAAATTAAAAACCGGTTAAATAAATTGGTGAATGTGCTAATTGTGGAACTCGGACATCACAAACATCACAAACTTTGTTGCTACCCATATGGCCAGTTTGGACACAAAAACGTGTTGGGGCACGGACACCACAAGTATTTGTTGCCTTTAAATTTTTAAAATCAATTTTTAAACTCCACCCCCTTATCCTCCACCCTTTCCCCCTCCCTCTCCTCCCTCAATACCTTCCTTCTTCAATCCCTCCACAAATTTACCTCAACTTCCAAATTAAAAGCAACATTTATAAAATCAGGAACACATCTTTGTGGTCTTTTAAATTCATCATAACAAGCACTTAAACTTGGTTGATAATGATGTGGATCGACAGGAGGGACTTTAGGTTCAGGTCTATTTAGTTGTCCATTAATTATTAAATTTTGTATTGAAATAAATATTAAAATAAATAATAATAAATTTGTAGTTAAAGAAGGCATTTTCCACACCAAGCCTTTTTGAAAGAATTATTATTTTTGGCTGGAAATTTTAAAAAATTTTTATGTAAAAATACAATTATTGTCAAGATAATACTAAACTTTATTTTACAATAACATGCTTTAAAAATAAAAAGAACCAAATTTCTCAAATTATATAGAGAAAATATTTTGTATATTTTACAGTTAAGGGTTGGTGAGTGGATCCGGAGATTTGTGGATTTCCCAGGAGTTGCCAATCCTACATATTCATAAAATAAACAGCTTCAGAAAATATATAATGGAAAACATGTATGTAGAATTCTTTGTAATAAAGGTTGGGATTTCATTAATTTTGTGGTATTTTTTAAAGTGAATATTAAAGTGAATTTATTTTTAAAAAAGAATATTTAAATTTTGGCATTTAAAAAAATGAAATTTAAAACATTTTTTGTAGAAAATTGATTTAAAAATTTTTTCAGACTTTGTTTATGCTTAATTTTAAGTTTAAAAACAACAAAACAATATAAAGTTTCAGAAAATATATATTTGTTTTATTGAATATTTCTCAAACATTCACAGATTAATATCTAACAATAAAGGATTTTTTAAAGGATTTTTCAAAAACTTTTTTAACTAAAAATCTCCATTTATTTATTACAATTTTCTAAAACTTTTAAGCATTAACTTGTGTTGCACAAATAATTAATCAATATAAAACGGCGAACATCTCCTTCCCCTGACCTTTTTCTTGGAAAATATGACCAACAGAATCAATATAGAGGGGAGAATGTTTGTAGAATAAACAAATTTTTTTTGTTAAAGAAAAAAAAATATTTTTTACAAAAAATGATTTTAAAAAAATTATTTTTTATTTACAGACAGACGGAAAATTTATTTTATCGAAAAAAAGTGTTCTTTTCCCCTCAATGAGTCATCAAAATGTGCATCTCCCAAAACTTTTAATTTTTCGTTAAACATATGGCTGCTAGATTATAATAAAAATATAATTAGAAACAGGTGTTGTTTTTGTTGTTGTTTTAGATTAAAGCACAAAAACTATTTTAAAATAAATTGATTTATGTTAAAAAGTTTTAAAAAATAAGTGATGGATATGGACAAAATTAAGTCAACTAGGCAACTTCGAAATAAAATTTCAACCACTTATAGATTGTTTTAAATTTTCATTTTGGGCTTATTCGAAAGCCCTTTAAATTTGCTATAAACGTGTTAAATCCTATTTTCCAGAAAAGATATTTCGATTAGTTGTAGAGGCGAACGTTAGTTGCACAGGCTAAATTCAGTTACTTCTGTCCCTATCTTATCTCCACTAATTATTATTATTCAATTTCTTCTTTAAATATAAAAAACAATATTTTTTAAATAAATTTATTATTTTTAAATTAAATTAAAAAATCTAAACAAATAAAAACAATTAAAATATAAATTCTCCAATAATCACAATTTCCTTTATTTTTTAAAGTAACATTTCTTTCATTAATTAAATCATTCCAATAATCATTATTCTCTTTATTTTCTTTAATTTCTTCTTCTTTTTCTTCTGATTTTTCAATTAAAATTATTTTATTAGTTTCAGAAATTCTTTTTCTACATTCTTCAGGCATTAATAAATGTTCTTTAGATATATGTCTAATACGTTCAAATGCTTTGTTTATAGATTCGCTTATTTGACGATAAATCTTTTTAAAATTATTATTTTAATAAAAATTGTAAAATATTTGATAATTTTGAGAGAACTATTAAAATTAAATATAAATTTTTGTCTTTATTAATTCTCTAATTAAAGCACAGTGCTTCTTGTTGTGTCCGCACTTGCAGAAGAACATAAATGAAAATAAATAACCCAGCAGTGGGTTGGATGGTGGCACAGTCGGTTGTGCTTCGGTCTGGGCTCATTCCATGATGGTTCAATTCCATCTCCCATCCACAATTTTTCCACAGCATGAACATGAATACAATAATGGTGCAACGACCCGTCCAGGCTTAGCCTGAGGAAACTTAAGCGAACCGTCAAATGCTGTGATGATCTGACATACTTTAACTGTCTAGAGAAATAAGGAGAAGACCCTGTGAGTATCGCCTGAGCTGTGTGCGGGCAGAAATTAGAAGCGTAAGACTCTGTGTGAGCAGCTAGAGAAAGCGTAAGACTCTGTGTGAGCAGCTAGAGAGAAGCGTAAGACTCTGAGTGAGCAGCTAGAAAAAAAAATGCCACAAATGGGTTTCTGTGTGTGCTCTCCCAAAAATCGAAAAACAGTTGATAGTAATTGAAGACAAGCAACAAGCGAGGACGCTTGGTTTCGCAAGGCGGAAGGAGTGTTGTGTCCGCACTTGCAGAAGAACATAAATGAAAATAAATAACCCAGCAGTGGGTTGGATGGTGGCACAGTCGGTTGTGCTTCGGTCTGGGCTCATTCCATGATGGTTCAATTCCATCTCCCATCCACAATTTTTCCACAGCATGAACATGAATACAATACTTCTATTTTTCGATCCTCTCGTAGGGTGTGCTTCACTTGGAGACGTACTTCTATTAGAGAATTTACGGTAATTATTAATAAGGGGGGCGGATGCGGATATCCGAAAGTTTTCAACTATCCGCCAACCTTAATCATTAACTATTAATTAAAATAAAATTCTAAAAAACTATTAAATAATAAATTAATAAAAATTGGAGTTTTTCTGATTTTTAGAATAAATATTAGCAGTAATGTAAATAAGTAACTTTTCCTTACTAAAATTATTTTCTAAAATTTGTTTTTGCCAAAAGTCAAAAAACTCCTTCACTTTATTAAATTTACTTGAATTGCATTTTTCGAACATTTAAGTTTTATTCCTGCATAACATTTTGTATAATCATTCATTATTCTTTTAAAAAATAAAATTTTAATTTTTTAAATTAAAATTCTTGATTACCTACAAAATTGCCATAAACTAATTGTTAATTCTTCTTTTAAAGGTAAAGGTTTACATTTTTTGCCAACTTCCTCTAAATGTTTTCTTTGACAAGTAATAAATTCAGAAAATACTTTTAAAAATTTTTTTAAAATTATTTTTGAACTAAAAAAACACTTTTTGGTTTATCAACAAGTATTTGACATATATTTGTCCAATAACCAACATTGGCTAATTCAACCATTTTTTGTCTGTTATCCATACAATTGTCTGAACATAATTTAAATTTTTCTACAGACCTTAATTTTTTTTATTTTCTTTCAGATAATTAAAAAAAAGAATTTTCTTTTTGTCGGAGAGATATATTTACTTTCCTTTTTTATTTTTCTTTCTACTCCCCCCCCCTACCTCCGATATATGGCAAGTACTTATAATAATTAATATTGTTATTTGAATTTGAGATAAAATATCACACTTAAGTGTTTGAGTGAAATATTTTACAATAGTAATTGTTGTGCCTGTACTTGGAAAAAACAATATGAATGAATAAAAATAACCCATTATCGGCACAGTCGATTGTTACCTGGAATTGGGCCCTCTCCTCGATTATTTCACAAATGTATAGCCAGCCCCACACTTATTTTTATCTCCCCTCAGTAAATTTTCTACAAACATAATATAATTTACTAAAGAAAACATACAAACAAATCCATTCTGATTTTCTAATTACAACAACATTATTTGCACTATACCTAATTTTTATTTAATTAAAAAAATTAATTTTAAAAATTTAACAACCTAATAATTGAATATAAAGGGGATAACATATCTAAAGGCGTTCTAAATCCAACGCCAGCAATTGAAGAAAGTGAATGTTTAAATATTTCACTACAATTTTTGATACACGATAATTTTGTTGTTGTTTCACACGAAAAAAGTGAACGGTGAAATACTTGAAATTTTGGAAATTTTTTTAAGTGTTCAATTATTTTGAGGATTATATTTGCTATAGTATATGTAGTATACCGGTGGTAAGGTTCCTGTAAAAATAGTGGTATCGTTCGACTCAGCTCGTCGAGACGAATCGAATGGTATGGGTCCTATATCGGAACGTTACCACCGGTATACTATACAGCCATTATATTTTTTAATCCTTAAAATTTATTGTAGTCATACATAATATATCTACATAATTTTTTAAAATTAATTATAAATTTAAATTACCAATTAAAAACATTAAACAAATCAAATTTGAAAATAAACTTTTAAAAAATAAATAACACATTTTAGTAATTTAAAGAAAGTCCCATTTTTGTTCTAAAAAGATAAATAACATATTTTTATTTTTAAGAAAAGAATGCCGGAAGAATTGGAACAAAGAAAAGGATTTATTTTAATACAAAAAGATTTTCAATTAAATAAAGCTTTGATTATCCAAAAAGAATATTTATAATTTAATTTTCTTATTCCTATTTTTTTCCTAAAAGAAATTGAACTAATTATTTAAAAAAGATTTATTTAAATTAAATAACACATGAAATAAAAAAATATTAAATTAAAATTAAATATACAAAAAATAATTAATTTTTTAAATTAAAATGTTAAAAATATCCTTAAATTGTTAAAAATTTCCAAATAAAATATCTCCTCTCAATGCCCATCCTCTATTACGTTTTAAAGCTTCCTCATAATGACACAGACGAAGAGGGGTATTTATATCATTAAATTCGGCAGAATATCCCTCCAACGTTTTTTCTTTCTTTTGCTGTTCTTCTGTTCTACATAAAAGGGCACTTTCAACGAGAATTGTCTGAAATTATTAAATTATAGTTTGTTAATTATTTTGGATACATATGACGGGAATAACTGATGTATAGTAACAACTCGAAAATTTTAGGATATTTAGGAATTGAAATGTTAAAAGGACGTGTTGTGTAGTGATGTCACCATAGTATAAAAGCCAGTGAAATCGGCAGTCTAGTTAAATCATACTAGCGCGGATAGTGATCTTATACTGATCTCCTTCGTCTGTTCCAGCCTCAATCCCTTCGTCTACATTGCACGTCAAAATAGTTAAATCTCGGATAACCCTCGGACATAACAGGACGGGATAAGTTCTGACATGTAAAGAATGGATACCCAAGGCTTTTATTTTATTTTTTAGTTGCCAAACTCACCACAATCTCAATAGCACAAAATTGGAATAAATAAGAAACACCCTGCTCTATATCCTCAGCTTCAATCCATTTAAGAAATCCTTTTCTCAAAGAAGGCAAATCCCTTCCTTTTTTCGAACAAAAAGATTTTTGTCTAGCGTCAGAAAAACAATCATATAAATGCCCGTCCATTTCTCGAACTCTGTCAGCAATTCGACGCATTCTTTCAATTTTTGCAGAGTCTTGCCATTCGTTGTCGGGTAACCAACATTCATTTAGAAGAGTGCCGAGAACATCCATTTCTTTTAGAGCGTCCAAAACATGTTTGCTTCTAAAAAATTTGAAATTAAAATTTGATTAACGAAAAATATATTCTTTGTCCAAAATAAAATATTAGGATCGAAAATAAAGTTAAATCGTGGAAAATAAAGATATAGAAATCAGGGAACAATTTTTAAAAAATCCACGAAACTAAAAAAATTTCAGTTTAACATGACTCCTCCGGAAATGTTTTTTAGTCTAAATATAATAATTTAAAAAATAGGAGAATAATAAAACTGGAAATAAGTTGTTCATCTAAAAAAAAAGTAAGTTGTTCATCTTAAATTAGATGAACAATAAATTAGATGAACATATTTCCCAAGTTTAATTTAAAAATACACTTACAATTTCCCTTTATATTCATCTTCAAGATCAACAACAGAAGTATTACAGTTTTGATTAAAATCATCGTCAACAATTTCTTCATTTTTAGGAAGAGTACTTTCATAAGCATGAGTAAGTACAGGAATAATTTCAACTCTCTGTTATTAAAATTATTTTAAATTAAAATAAATTAATTGACCTTTATGTAGGCTATCATTCTTTTAATTATCAATGGGTGACGTCTAAATTTGTGGTAAATATTTTAAAAATTAAACAAAAAATTACCTAAAACAAAAAAGGACATCCAAAAAGCCAATTTTAGTCTTTCTAAATTAAAAAATTAATTCAAAGAAGGAAAATTTCAAAAAGCCTACCCACGTATTTGAGATAATTTTCGACTTTTATTAACAATCATCCTCAACTGAGTTTTAACTGTAGAGTAAACAAAATCTTGGCATTCATCCAAAGAATTATTTGAATCTCCATTAGAAAACATTAAAGCACTACAAAAAATTTTATTAGTTATTTTTAAATTTTATTAGTTTATTTAATTTTTACCAAATAATTTCTCTTGCTGGATATTGTCGGTTTGTGGTCATTTTTTTAAATTAAAACAAAAATTTAAAAATTAATTTGAAATGCTTATAAATAAAAAATATTAAATTAAATCAAACTAATATGTAAAGACAAAAACATAACTAACAAGCAGTTTAACAATATTTATTACAAGATATTTAAAATTTGAACAATTCGAGATAACAACAATAAACAGAGGTCTATGTATGTAAATAACAAATTAAAAATATTTGGCAACAAAATTGCTAATTTCCTTCTATTACAGGGCTCCGATCGAGAATAAGATAAAGAACAAAAAGTTTAATTTCAAAGGGTATACGGCGATTTTTACGGGGAATTTATTCGAGAAAATTTAACGGTCTTCGTTTAAAGTGCAGAGATTCTCTTTCATAAACCCTGGTTAAATTTTTCTGGATATTTTGACAAAATAACAATCTCAAAGGAGAGAGAGATCAAAAATATTTTCAATTTTGACAAGTCAGTTTTAAAGGACTGTCTTTGATGAGGGATCGAAGCCTTGTATTACTACTACATATAATCTAATAACTTTTAATAACCAGCAGCTTGTAAATATTCCTGCAAGTTTTGTGTATGGTTTTTCATAAATTGCCCGTTCAATTTTATTCGTTCCACTATACGCTGAATGGGGCCTTGTAATGTCTCCATTACACTTCCAGAAAAAATAGATTTGACGAAATTCTAAAATTTTTAGAAAATATTTCTAAAAGTAAATATCGTTTTCCTTTAAAGGACCTGAAAGTCATTAGAATCAGAAGCGGAGCAAAAATGATTTGAACTCATCGAAAGAGCTTTCTCGAACAAAGAGGAAGATGGATCCCAAAGATTTGTCATTAAATCAATATTATCTTTGAAAAAATTCCAGGCAAAACGTTGAGCTGCAGAATTAGTAGAACAATTTACTGATGCAAAAAGCTTAAAAATATCTTGACTTCTAATGTTATTATCAAGAATTCCATGATTAAATATTTGCTCCAAAAGTTTTAAATCTGTGCATTGACCGAGAGCTAAAGTAGAAGATTTATTATTATATTTTAAACAATTTCCTTACCCATAATACATGTACTTTCGATTTCAGCAAAGTTACAAGTAGTCAAAATATTCTGTAATGCCTCAATAATTTTGGCATCGTTGGACCTAGCGGCAGTTGCATAAATAACAGAACGCAGTTCTGGAACAAGTTCAGCTCCTTTCTCTACATGCGCTTTAAATTTATTTAATGCCACTTCTATAGTTGGAAGATGTTTAGACCGACTTAAACGACCAATTAGCAAAGAACGCAATTGGGATGTTTGCATATCTACAAATTTTTTAATTTTAGAAATATATGAAATCACAACCTTCTCCTTCCTTAGGCTCCCATCCATAACGCTCAGCAACAGGCTCAATGACTTTACAAACAAAGCGATTAAATCTCTCCAATAATCGACCATCATCGTCCAAATTAATAAGAATATGGTTTATTTGTGAAAGACAGGAGATAATAGATTGCCAGACAATTAAATTATCTTCCTTACCGCAAACAGAAAAAAATTCCAAAAATTGCGAAATAGGAAGCAGTCCCGCAGTGATTACCTAAAAATATTTTTGAAAACAAAATCAAATAAATTGTAACCTCAAAAAGGTCATCAGCAATCTGAAATCTATCAATAACATCAAGTTCTTTGTCTTGAATTCCTTGAAGAAGCTTTTTTAACATTTCGTCTGGATAAAAGACTCGAAAGAAAGAAGAGAAATTTGAATTGACCTAAAAATAGAAAATCTTCTAAAATCAAAAAATAAAAACCTTAATCCATTCTGATGACTTAACACCCTCAATAACAAATTTATCTTCTTCTTTGGTTAATAAAAACTTTGCCGCAGGCTTTGAAGGATCAGATCGAACAGTTACAGAAACTGGAATTTGCCAAACTGGTTTATTTTCATCAATACTGCCATCAATAAGAAAACGTCTTTGTTTTAAAGTCAATTCACGTTTATCACCATCCAAAATTTTTTCTTGGACAGTTACCAAAGGAAAACCAACTTGTTGTGTCCAAGAAGACATTAAAGAACCAACATCCTTAAATTATAAATTATATAATTATTTTTACTAACAAGTTACTAACAACTCCTGATGCTTCACTCAAGCATTTCCAAAGATCATCAGTTGTTGCATTAGAATATTTAAAACGATCCAAATAAATTTGTGCACCCTTCTGAAAGGCTGGTTCACCCAAATAATTAAACAACATTCTAATAACACAATTCGACTTATCATAAGTAATACTATCATAGATATCTTCTAATTCATTTGGATTGTTAATTGGAACCTTTGAAGATAAAAATAAAATGAAAAAATCTTAAAAGGTACTTCAATTGGATGTGAATTTCTCATTGAATCTCTCCCCATTGCAGAAACTGTTTGAGAGCTAACAAAGTGGAGCCATAATTTAAATTCAGGATAATTATAACCACTCATTACAAATTCCATAAATGTAGCAAAACCTTCTTTCAACCATAAATCACACCACCATTTCTAATTTAAAAATAAATATTTGTAGTTCGAAAACGTCTAATAAAAAATTAACACAAACCATTGTTGTCAAATTACCAAACCAGAAATGACCAACTTCGTGAACTACTGTTTGAGTAATATTTTGCTTTGTAGATGAAGAGGTCAATACAGGATCACAAAGGAGAGCGGATTCACGAAAAGTTATTAAACCCCAATTTTCCATAGCACCTAAAAATTCTTAATTATTTATTGCCAAAAATTTGCAAAAATAAACCCATAGAAAATTCAGGAATTGCAATCAAGTCACATTTTGGAAGAGGCATTTTAATTCCATACCATTCAGAAAACCATTCAATAGCTTTAACGGCAACTGAAAGTGAATAATGTCCTTTATCTTTCTTCCCGGGCACAGTATAAACACGAACAATACATCCATCATTTGTTTTTGACTAAAAAAATAAATTTAAAAACAATTTGAAAAAATTTACCTCAATATATTCAAATTCTCCAACAGCAAAAGCAACCAAATAAGTGGACATTAATGGAGTTCTGGCAAATGTCACCAATTTTTTGCCATTTCCAATAATTTTTTCTTCAGTAACATTCATATTAGATAAAGCAGTTAATTGTTCATCAACTTCCAATTGAATATCAAAATTTGCTTTATAAGTAGGCTCATCAAAACAGGGAAATGCTCGTCGAGCAAAAACGCTTTCAAATTGTGTACTAGCCAACATTTTCTTATTTCCGTTTGCATCTTTGTAGGGAGATCTAGTAGTTAAATATTATTTATTAACTCCACTCCTTTTTTCCTTCATAATGTTGTTAACACAGTCGGCTGTGCTTCGGTAAGAGCCCACTCTATGATGGTTCTATTCCATCACCTATCCAGCCCATTTTTCCACGACACGAACATTACAAAATTAAAGAACAACCAAAGATTGAGCCATCAAAGATTATAATAAAGAATTTACCTATAAAAACCCGATAATTCACTGGAAATTTCGCCGTTGAAATCAAAATTTAGTTCAATTCTCTGAGGCGGTAGCTCACTCGGAAAATTAACTGTCAATAATTCCCATTTACAATCAAGTTCGTTTTTAATCTCTTTAATAACTAAAACAAAAATTATATTTATTAAGATTTTATATAAAACCCGTTCCATCAGCTAATTTCAAAGAAGCATTTTCGATTTCAATTCCTTTCGAGTAAAGCTTCAAATAATTTGTTGGTTTCAAAATCTTCAAAAAATGTCAAATTATTTTAGAATAAACTAAACAAAACAAACTTACATCCAAATGTATTTTCTCTGAGCCTTTAAGTTTAAATGTTTCCAAACATGGTGCGAGTCGAATCTCGTATCGAGACGTTTTAGCGAGCTCAGGTATTCGAGAAAACTTATCCGCCATTATCACGTTAGAGATCCTCGGGACCAATACACGGTGAAGCGATGTCCGTAAGAGATTAATGTTTGCTTTAATGGTAAACTTGTAAAAAAATCTAAAAGATAAATTTACATATAACCTAAAAAGTAGATGACCTAAATCAGGAGTCCGAACTCCTATATACCCCTCTAGCGTAGGACGAAAATAAAACAGAATTTACAAAGGTACAGTTGGAAGATACTTTAGAAGAAAGAACTCATTGTAAAATCCCCTTATTAAATAAAAAAAATTTTCAAATAAATCTGTTAGAAATACAAGCATCAACTTAATATTACAAAAATAATTAACAAATATTTATGCCAAAATTTTAAAATACCACATTAATTAGATCATATCTACAACAAATTTAATCAAAATTATACTCATGTATTATGATAATTTTAATATCAATTTTTCTTCTCAATGTCAATAATAAACCTAAAATCCGGCAGCTTGAAGATATTCTTTCAAACATTTTGAATTGTTCTTCATAAATTCACCATTTAATTTTATTTGTTCTAACACACGAGAAATTGTATTATCCAATGTTTCCAGAACGCGTTCAGTAAAATTTTCTTTACAAAACTTCTAAATAAAATAATTAAGTTTTAAAAAATAATTTTAAGACCTGAATGTCATCAGCATCGGAAGATGTACAGAAATTATCTGCACTCCATAAAAGGCATCTTTGAAACAAAGACGAAGACGGCTCCCAATACAGCATTAATAACTTCAAATTATCCTTAAAAAAGTTCCAAAGAAAACGTTGAGCAGCAGAGTCGGCAGACGAATTAACGGAGCCGAATAAATAAAAAACGTCTTGACTTCTAATATTTCTGTCAAGAATTCCATGTTCAAATACTTTTTCCAAAAGTTTAACGTCAGTGCATTGGCCAAGAGCTATAAACATAAATACATTAATAATCAAAAATTTCAGAACTATGACAAAATTTAAAAACAAACCAGCAATACATGCAATCTCAACTTCAGAGAAGTTGCAAGTTGTTAATATCTTCTGCAAAGCCAAAATTATTTTCTCATCATTAGAACGGCCAGCAGTTTGAAATATAGTCGTTCGTAGCTCAGGCACTAATTCGGTGCCTTTTTCAACATGTTCATTAAATTTGTTTAATGCAATTTCGATTGTTGGAAGGTGCTGGGAACGGGATAGCATCCCAATTAACAATGGACGCAATTGGGAAGTTTGCATATCTATCAATTTTAGTGATATTAGATATACATTAAGAATATTTAAGTAAAATCAAAAACCTTCTCCTTTCTTTGGCTCCCATCCAAAACGCTCAGCAACAGGTTCAATAACTTTACAAACAAAGCGATTAAATTTATCTTTCAGTTCAACATCATTCATATTTGCAACAAGTTGTCTAATTTTCGCTAAACCTGTAGCAATAGATTGCCAAACAATCAAGTCATCTTCTTTATCACAGACAGAAAAGAAGTCGAGAAATTGTGAAATCGGGAGATGTCCAGCAGATATCACCTAACATAAAAATTAAATTTTTAAAACTTTTAAACAAATATCCTTACAGCAAAAAGGTCATCAGCAATCTGAAATCTATCAATAACATCAAGTTCTTTGTCTTGAATTCCTTGAAGAAGCTTTTTTAACATTTCGTCTGGATAGAAGACTCGAAAGAAAGAAGAGAAGTTTGAATTGACCTAAAAATAGAAAATCTTCTAAAATCAAAAAATAAAAACCTTAATCCATTCTGATGACTTAACACCCTCAATAACAAATTTATCTTCTTCTTTGGTTAATAAAAACTTTGCCGCAGGCTTTGAAGGATCAGATCGAACAGTTACAGAAACTGGAATTTGCCAAACTGGTTTATTTTCATCGATACTGCCATCAATTAGAAAACGTCTTTGTTTTAAAGTCAATTCACGTTTATCACCATCCAAAATTTTTTCTTGGACAGTTACCAAAGGAAAACCAACTTGTTGTGTCCAAGAAGACATTAAGGCACCAACATCCTTAAATAATTAAACTGGTCTTACTATACTATTTATTATAATGTTACAATTCCTGAAGCTTCATTCAAGCATTTCCAAAGATCAGTTGTAATCGCATTTGAATATTTAAAACGATCCAGATATATTTGCGCTCCTTTCTGGAATGTTGGCTCCCCCAAATAATTAAATAACATCCGAATAACAGAACAAGATTTGGCGTAAGTTATAGCATCATAAATCTCTTCTAATTCATTTGGATTGTTAATTGGGACCTTAGAAAAGCCAAATTACAATCAAAGTAAATATTAAATTACCTCAATTGGGTGAGAATTTCGAAGACTGTCCCTCTCCATGGCAGTCATTATTCGTGAGCTGATAAAGTTCATCCACACTTTAAACTCCGGAAAATTATGGCCAATCAAAACATATTCCATAAATGAAGCAAAACCTTCTTTGAGCCATAAATCACACCACCATTTCTAATAAAATAAAAAGAATTTAAATTTAGAAGTACATATACAGAAAAGTTTGTCAGCCTCCCCCCCCCCCAAACCGAACCTCTGGGTACGCCCTTGGGAACGACAAGTCCAACAAAAACGAATATACTAACCATTGTTGTCAAATTTCCAAACCAAAAATGCCCGACTTCGTGTGAAACAATATGTGTAATCCTTTCCTTTAGAGTTGAAGAGGTCAAAACAGGGTCACAAAGAATACAAACTTCACGAAAAGTTATTAAACCCCAATTTTCCATAGCTCCTAAAAATTCTTAATAATTTATTGCCAAAAATTTACAAAAATAAACCCATCGAAAATTCCGGAATTGCAATCAAGTCACATTTTGGAAGAGGCATTTTAATTCCGTACCATTCAGAGAACCATTCAATAGCTTTAACGGCAACAGAAAGTGAATAATGTCCTTTATCTTTCTTTCCAGGCACAGTATAAACACGAACAATACATCCATCATTTGTTTTTGACTAAAAAAATAAATTTAAAAACAATTTGAAAAAATTTACCTCAATATATTCAAATTCTCCAACAGCAAAAGCAACCAAATAAGTGGACATTAATGGAGTTCTGGCAAATGTCACCAATTTTTTGCCATTCCCAATAATTTTTTCTTCAGTAACATTCATATTAGATAAAGCAGTTAATTGTTCATCAACTTCCAATTGAATATCAAAATGTGCTTTATAAGTAGGCTCATCAAAGCATGGAAATGCTCGCCGAGCATAAACGCTTTCAAATTGTGTACTAGCCAACATTTTCTTGTTTCCAGCCTCATCTTTGTAGGGAGATCTAGTAGTTACATAAATATTAAAGTGTTCGAAAGAATTAAATCATTTTACCTATAAAAACCTTTCAATTCATTGGAAATTCCTCCAATAAATTCCAAGTCAAGTTCCACAGCTTGCGGTGCGAGTTCATTTGGAAAATGAACAGTTAATAACTCCCATCTCCGGTCAAGCTCAATTTTCAGTTCTTTAATGACTAAAACAAAAATTATTTTTAATTTTAAAAAGTAAGATTTTAAACAAAACCCGTTCCATCAGCCAATTTCAAGGAAGTTTTTTCGATTTCAATTTCTTTCGAGTGAAGTTTAAAATAATTTGTTGGCTTCAAAATCTATAAAAAAAAGGTCATATTATTTAAATTAAAATAAGACTTACATCCAAATATATTTTCTCAAAACCCTTAAATGTAGATGATCTCAAACACGGCGAAAGCTGAATCTCATATCGAGAGGTTTTAACGAGTTCAGGCAATTTAGAGAACTTTTCTTCAGCCATTGCTTTATATTAAATTAAATAAAAATTCACGTTTTATGTACTTTAATATTTCCTGTTTTTAAAGAAAATAAAAAGAAAAAAATTATTTGATAAAATTACTAATGAAAATGAAATAAAGAAAAAAATATTTTTTTTGATTAATATTACAACTAATAAAAATTGGTTTAGTTTTAATTTTTCAGCAAAAGAAAAATAATATAACGATGACAAAAGTAATTGATGACAAAGGATATTTTTGAAGACAGCATCAACAAACACAAAAGTAAAATAAAAGAGCGAACGATAAAACTGCTGTGATGAAGAGGGCCAATATCGTTTTTAGGCTCCTGTACAAAAGATCGTTGTAACAAAAGACCGGAACGGGCAAAAAGGGATAAAAGACCGGGTCCTGTCTTTTTTTCCCGGTGCGGTCTTTTTTTGTTCCGATCTTTTGTACAGATACGCTTTTTATTATTTTACAATTTTCAGTTTTTGGGTACGGCCCAAGTAGGCGCACGGCCAAGTAGGCGCAAAGTCATAACTTGCTTCAAAATTTCCGAATCTTACCAAATTTGGTATTAAACGATTCCTCTCATCGAGCTAAAGAGAATGGTACCAAAATTGTTAAGGTCAATAAATTTTTCAGGTAGTTATGGCTTTGCGCCTACTTGGCCGCGCGCCTACTTGGGCGTGTCCCTCAGTTTTTCTTTGTTATTTTTTTACAAAAAATTTTACAAATTTAGTAAAAATTATTTAAAAACAAAATGGAAGCAATACTTTCTCCACTTTCTAATGCTGATGGTTCTTGTGAATTAAAATCAAATTTATCTTTGGTGCTTTGTGGAGTTATGGGTCCAGGTGATATTTCGTCCTCAAAACGACTCTTTGACAAAGCAAATATTTTCTTTTCTATCAACAGAATTCCACAAAAAAGCAAAGAAGGTTGGAAAACAAACATTTAACTTTTCAAAAAAAAATTTTTTCAGAATTAGCTTCAACTGTTCGGCCTTCTGTTTCTAAACCAAATTCTTCATCATTATCCTCTTCTTTTGCTCATACTTCTGATCGTTTTATTTCTTCTATTGTTAAAGCATCAATTAACGAATTTGCCTATCCCCGAACTTGCATTCAAATTTGTACTCAAGAATTAAAAGCTGACGGGCCAACAGATGCTTTACATTTAAATTCTATTTGTTTGGCACTTTTGGATTCTGGAATTCGAATGCATTATGTATTTGCATCTGTCACAATTGGAATTAGGTAAAACATTAATTTTTGATCACAAAAAGTAATTACTTTTTGTAAATATTTTCTTAGAAAAATAAACAAATCTTGGAGTCCTTTGAATTAATTTGTGAATTAACTTTAATTCTTCGGGAAGGGATTTTTTCGGTTTATTGGGAATGTTCCATGTCCCTCTAATAATAATTCATGCCGCTCTAATTATCCTCACATCCAGGACTTTCGATTGATATATTAATTAACCACTAAGAATTTAAAAATTTATGGTCCAAAATATGGCTAGGTACAATACTTGCCGATACTCAATGATCCTGTTTCACAATTTTTCAGCCCTTTATTATTTTTAGAATTCACAAATCCCCTTCGTTAACGACTACAAAAGATCAAAAATATTGTTCATAAATACTTTTTTGTGTCTTTAGTACTTTTATAAATAAATGAATATTTATTTTTTTAAATAAATTCCATTCAAATGATTCACAAAAATGCTTAATTTTAAAAACTTTATTTAAAATTCTTTTAACCATTACTTTAACAAAAAATAAACTTTTTTTTTGTTTTCAGAGCTACAGATGGTGAATTACTGATAAATCCAGACCAACTCCAATCAAATGCTAGTAAAGCTATTTTAACTTTTGTTTTTCGACCATCGGTTATTTTAAGTGGAAAAATGATTGGGACACATTCAACAGGAGAATTTACATTAGAAGAACATAATGTAAAGAAATTTAATTAAAATTAGAAAAAAAAATTTTTTCAGAAAGCTTTGAAACTTGCCGAACAGAATTGCCTCGAATTATTTGATTTTTATCGTCAAAAAATGCAACAGAAATTTATTTATCATATAAAACCAAATTAAATTTTTTTATATTTTTTTTAATATTTTATGATCTACACAAATTATTTTGTACTTTTTATGTTTATTTGTTGTTTAGGAAATGAGTTAAATTAGAAAAATTATTTTTTTATTTGTTTTTACTTTCAAATGTTACATCATTTTTATATATTTTGATGTGTTTGAGAAATATTTTTTTATCTTAGGAATTTTTTTTCACAAAAATTATATTTTTGACTGTTTTCGAGTTTATTGTAAATTTGATTTTATTAGACGTTAATTTGAGTGATGAAATTGGGGTAGCACCCTGAACCCCCAAGGGCGGGAGTGTCGGATTTCGGGGTTTACCGGGGTAGAGTCTTCGGGTTTTTGCTTAAAAAAATTCGTCGGGAGACGGGGTGCTACCCTAGTTAAAATCATATATGATTCGCGCATAAAATAAAATAACCCCTTTACATCCAATAATTTTTGTGGAAGTAAAATTTGGAAAATAATTGAGGCAAGAAAAGACTACCTAAAAATTATTTTAGGTAGTCTTTAAGTTATGTATTGTGTGAGTGACAAAAATAAAATATTTGAGTGAGCAGCTGTTTTTCTGCAAATGCATAATATAAATAAATGTATTTGTAATCTACAAATACAAATATTTTTTTTTAAAAATATTTTTTTGCAAAAAAACCACACACACAATTAGTTTTGAGGATTATTCAATTTTCACTGTAATTTTATAGGCAGTATTCACTTGAACTTTTTTTCGAATTTTATTCAAACTAAAGTAAATGGCTGCTAATTTTTGATCTAACCAACTCACTTCTTTAAAACTAAAAATTTTTTTATTTTGTTTGGATCGATTTATAAAGCGATCATTTATGTAATAATGTTGTTCTACTGCGAATTTTTTATTTTTGAAAATAAAACTTTTTTTTTTATTTTTTAACGCCTAGTCGATTTATTTTTTTTTCATTTTTACACTTTATTTTATTCAATCTCTTTTTTATTTCCTTTTGTAAAGTTGATTAATATCAGCAAATTACATGTATATTTTAAAACTTAGCTATTATAAAAATGTAAAATTAATTAATTTATTTATTTTTTAGAGCTTTTGACATTTATTGCTAAATTTTTGTTTTAATACAATTTTGAATGCATGACTCTTTCCCCTCTGGAAGCAAAATAGCTCAAGAAACTAATTCATCAGAACAACTTCACCAATGGTGCAATGAACATTGTTTACCCCATCATGAACACTCACAACATTCCCATTTACAGCAAAATGCGAGGCCGTCTCCTTTACTTGGTTTGACCTTTTCTAAATTTTATTTAAATTTTAAATAAAAAATTTCAGTTTGGTCTGTTGGTCTTTCCTTCGTTACAGGTTTTTTTTATTCAAATATTTTGACAAAAAAATTTATTTTAAAATTCTCAAGTTGTTGGGCTATGTGCAGTTGTAGGAATTTTGGTGATGCGAGTTCTCACCAAAAAATACTACAATCGCTTCATCACATTTTTTGTCAGCGTTGGTGTTGGATCTCTTTCTGGTTCAGCAATGTTTCATCTCCTACCACAGGCCTGTTTAAATAAATTTTGGGATTGTGAGAGTAGTTTCTTCTTTTTGGATTTTCCCTCCCTCTTTTTTCATATTTAACACCTAGCAATTTAAGGTAATCAAAACAAAAGGGCAATTTTTTAAATAAAGGCTTTTGACCTGGCTCAGGAGCACTCTCATGGGGGTTTTGGCGAAGAGCATACCCATGACAATCACGACTACCTGAACAAGTCTTTCGCGGCAATTATAGGGATCTATTTGTTTTTCTTTTCGGACAAAATCATCAAAATTGTCGTCGAATCAAGAAAGGTTTTGTTAACTTTAATTTTAATATTTTTTAAATTTTATCTAATTAGCGACCCCAGAAAGACTCAGCAGAACTTCACCAAGCAAGGCATCGACATGGCAACTCGAAAACAAAGGAGCACCCAGAGAATGGGCAGCCAACAAATGGAAAGGATTTGAAGGCGGACCAGGTAATTTTTTGTTTTTTTAACTTTCTAATGGGTTTTCGATATCTGTCAATAGTAGAGGTCGGCAAAATCGCAATTCCGGGACCCCAGATCGGGATTTTTTTCTTAACTAATGCCGGGACGGGATCCCGAGGGTTAAATCTCGAAAAAATCTCGGATCCCGAAAACCAAAAAATCCGATATTTCGGGAGAGGTCGATAGAAAAATTTGAGAACTAGCAATAAGCAATTCGGATCCCATTATTTTTATTGTCTAAAATATTAAAATTTTAGAGCAATGAGAATTTACTTCGTACTAATGAAGGAAAAGATAAAAGGTTCGATGTTGATCATTCAATTAAACAACAGGTTTGTTTTTATTTCTCGTAAATATTTAAAAAATGCTAGACACATGCTTTATGTATCCACGATCATGATGTAAAAGAAGGCGATTCAGTAATTGCTACAGTCGCTTGGATGATTATTCTCGGTGATGGGTTACACAATTTTATTGACGGTGTTACCATTGGTGCTTCATTTTCTGAGTCGTTATTGAGCGGTATAAGTGTTAGTGTGGCTGTGCTTTGTGAAGAATTCCCTCATGAATTAGGTTTGAGTTTTTGGAGTTTTTTAAGTCTCTAAAAATCCTTTTTAATATTTTAGGGGATGTTGCAATCCTTTTAGACTCGGGTATGACAATGCGTCAAGCATTGTTTTACAATTTACTTTCTGCTTTAACTTGTTATATTGGATTCATTATTGGAGTTTTAATTGGAAATATAACACACACCTTTGCTGCTTATACTTTTGGGTTTGCTGGAGGAATGTAAAAATAGAATTTGTTTAAAATTAAAAAATTTTATCTTAAATTTTCAGGTTTTTATACATATCGCTTGTATGCTTTATAATTTTTTAAATTTCTGAGAACATTTTATTTAAGGGCTGTATGATGCCTGAAATGAAAAATGCAATGGAAAAAGCCTTAAATGTTTCACGCAAAAGTGGATTGGAGGTTTTAGCACTTCAAACGTCAGGACTATTAACAGGTTTTTCTTACCAGTTAAAAAATACAAAAATGACATTTTTAGGGCTAGCATGCATGTATTTAATGGCGCGTTATGGGGAAAATATAGAATTTTAAGAAGCGGATGTTGTTTTGTTTTTTGGATACACCTATGCATTTTGTTCTCTCTTTATCATTTAATATTTAATTTTCACGCATTATATTGTTACAGTCATGCCATGTCGGCGTTCCATTTGCTTTCACATGAACATGTAAAACTTGATTATAAACTCTAACTCGTTAATTTTGCACACTGAATTTTACTTTATATTTGACTTAAGTTACCTAGCGTTAGAAATGAAATTTATTCCGGTTACTCCTTCTTAATTCGAATGTCAAACGTCAACTCACATCGACCGATAAAATACACTACTCGAAAACTGGGTACCCTTTTCGGCTGTAGTGTAGTTCACCGGAGGTAAAAGTTCGGGACGAGACATATGTCATTCGATTCGTCTCGGCGAGCTGAGTCGAACGGTACCACTCCCAATTTCAGGAAATGATTCTGGACCGAGTTATAGGTCCCGAAAAATCGAAAAACCATAGGGGGGACCAAGCACTTTTTTGGGGTGAAAAATTCGAATATGCAAATAATAGCTCATTCGAAAGAGCTCTTCGAGCTTAGTCGAATGACACCAAAATCAACGAAATCTGACTTGATTTGACAAAGTTATGATCGTTTGTTTTAGCTCCTTACCTTTGGCGCCCGTTGAGGTTTTTGATGCTACTGGAGCCCCAAGTACGTCCAGAGCAAGGGAGATGGGACTAGGTTTATGTTACGAGCCCAGACCCAGCGCCCGTAGACTCCCCGCGAGGCGCGTGCCGCAAAACCCCGCGCGAAGCGCGGGGTTTTGCACAAGCGCCTCGCTGACGCTCCATAGGTTTACGTTGACTATTTTGAACCTGTTTATTATGGCTCTAAATCAAGATTTCGAGCTGATTTTGGTGTCATTTGACTCAGCTCGTCGAGCTCTTTCGAATTTGGATAAAAAATTTTTTATTCCAAAAATCGCCCCTTTGGATCTTCGATTTTTAGAGGTCTATATCTCGGTCCAATCAAGTCAGATTTCGTTGATTTTGGTGTCATTCGACTCAGCTCGACGAGCTCTTTCGAATGAGGTATAATTTGCATATTCGAATTTTTCACCCCAAAAAAGTGCTTGGTCCCCCCTTTGGTTTTTCGATTTTTCGGGACCTATAACTCGGTCCAGAATCATTTCCTGAAATTGGGAGTGGTACCGTTCGACTCAGCTCGCCGAGACGAATTGAATGACATATGCCTCGCACTGAAATTTTACCTCCGGTGAACTACACTATATCCCCCTTTTCTATCGCTTACCTACCTAAAAACAGTCAAACTATCCATCTACATTGGTTTTCATATATTTATCCGATTTAAAAAGAAATGGTAAATGATGAAAATAGGTGTATACTTTGGATTATAAAATCCATAAACTATCAATAATCCAAAATTTCTTCACTTCTTATGATCCTCTCACTGTCAGCCTTTAAATTCGTTGAAGAAAATTCGGTGGCTCATAGAACGTATCAACGACCTAAAATTGTCATTTATACATAACCAAAAGGAATGCCTACCGAAAACTTCTGTCCACGATTCTGCCCACGCATTCTGCCGAAGAATTGCTGTCGACGAGCAAAGCGTTTCGAATTGTTGTTCTGAATCTGACCAAATTTCTGACCACGATTTTGCTGCTGAACGAGAATATATTGAGTTCTGCGTTGTGGTCGGCTCAAGATAACCTGTTGCACACGACGTCCAGCACTTGGCTGTTGAACAATAAAATTCTGAGTCGGCTGCTGTTGTTTAGCAAATTGATTCTGAAGTTGTTGAACACGACTAGCACGACGCATTGCATTAATCTGGGCACGAACTGATGATCCTTGACTGCCGCTTTGACCATTAAAGCTTATTTGCTGACGACGAGGCGTAGTAAAAAGCGATGAAGTTTGAGGTTGAAGTACAATTTTTTGTGGTTTAGCAGAAACGATGCGTGGAGGTAATGAACTAAAAAATGCAAAATTAATGATTTGATCTAAAACTTACACAACATGCTGAAAAGCCGGCAGTTGAGTATTAAAACGAATTGGCCCTCTATCAGTCCTAACACGTCGTGTTGCCATAATTGGAGAATTATTCGCAATTATACGGCGTCGACCAATTATTCGAGATTGAACATTGACACGGCTGAGAATATTCTTTTGTCGAAGACGATTTGCACGAACACGCATTTGCCTTCTACTAGGACGAACGCTGACCGGAACAGTAGTCAAATTCTGGGCAATTGCTTTCTGAAAAAAAAATTCGGATTTTTTAAATTAGACAATTTATAAAAACCTTAACAAGCTTCCTGACCAAATTTTTAGTAACCTTCATCATATTTCTATTCTTCTGAATTCTAGCGTTTTTAACATTAGCAAAAGTCTGGCGCTTTGCAACCAAAATTCTTTTCTTAACGTAAAAAAAGATAAAAACAAATAACCTCTAAAAAGTCACCTGCATAGCACCCGCTGTTGCCTTCTTTTTGTTCCCAAAACGAGCAACTCGACGAATAGCACCAGAATTTCGCTTGAATTTCGAAACACGGTTGTTTTGTTGGCGCTTCTTCGCAAAAACTTTACGCGCACCACCGTTTCCACCCATCGGCTTCTTTCCAGCAGTTTGGCCCTTACGCTTTTGAGCATCAATGATCTGGTCTAAAAGTAGAAAATAACTATTGTTTATTGTGATAATAAATTTACCCAAGCTCATCTCCAGCTTTGAAGTTGACATTGCCATATTGCAAGATATCTAAATTTGCTGGAGACAATAATGCCGATAAATAATTCACAATGGGCTTTGCCGGGAGGGTATTACGGGTTGTCATTCAAAAGCGCGTCGTTTCAATATTTTTATTTTGGTTGTTAAAATAACTGTTTTTGCAGTTTTAGCACCACTTATTGAATAGGTCAAACTCATCCTGTTATACTGACAATAAGCACAACCATGTCATCTCCATGTTTCTTGGGGTTCCCATTCGGCTTTATTGAACTCCATGTGATTTACCCTGTTACAACTTTGCTTCCCTCACGAACAATTAAACAAAATTTTTTTGTTAGAAATAAATCTTAAATAAATTGCCGAACCATACGCCAACGCATCCCTAAAGGTAGCTTTAACACGGTAAAAATTTGAATCACAAAACATCAAAGTATAAATCAAAATAAACAGCTTACAAATTTCCGTTGTGTTGAAGTAATTGAAACAAAATTAAGTCAAATCAATTTAAATGTTTGTCCTGAAATATAAAACAACCAAATAATCACATAAAATCAAGAAAAAGTTAAGAAATGTAACAAATGAAATGTAAAAACGTGCAGTGTGACTCCTTTATTTATGCAGGCTACTGTATTATATAAAATTAAAATCGATATTAAATCAATTCATTCGTTTCGAAACAAATTCATTTAAATTTTGGCAGACAATTTTTTATTTTTAGCGTGTCCCCTCAACTCATCGAATCCTTAACTCATCGAATCGGCCAAAAACACTCAACTCATCGAAACGGCTAAAATTCCTTAACTCATCGAATCGCCCAAAAACTATTAACTCATCGAATCCTTAACTCACCGAATCCTTAACTCATCGACTAGGCCAAAAATGCTCAACTCATCGAATCCTCCCAAAAGGGACGTTTGAGTCCCAGTGTTTATTTTTCTCCCAAAAGGGCTAGCTGAATCTACGTTGAAAAAATTTTTGAGCTGCTTTGGAGGCTAGGAAAAAGTCCTTTTGGGCACAATCGGGGCCTACTGGATTAATCTGGTCCGGTTTTACCCGGTAGAATCTCCGCATAATTTACCAGGAATGAGATCATAATTTACCAGGATCTGAGAATGTTTTCACTGACCAGATAGACTGTGATGAGTGACCGATCAACTAATTAACAAAATTAGTTGAAACCCCGGATGAAAAACAAAAAAATAAACAAAACAATAAAAAATCTAAAAAAAATAAACACTGGGACTCAAACGTCCATTTTTGGGAGGATTCGATGAGTTGAGCATTTTTGGCCTAGTCGATGAGTTAAGGATTCGATGAGTTAAGGATTCGATGAGTTGAATCCTTCGATGAGTTAAGGATTCGATGAGTTAAGGATTCGATGAGTTGTATAGGAGCCATTTTTAGCTGTTGTTGCAAAAGAAAAGTAGAGAACAACGTGTCGTTTACCTGTTTAAAAATAGAGAGTTAGCGACATTTCTTTTAATTTTTGAAGAATTTTGCCTATTTTTTTTTTGTTTTTTTTAAAGATTTTTAGCTTATTTAATCAGTTTTAATTTTATTTTGGCTGAAAATGACCAATCAAGAGGTGGGGAAATTGGCATGGTTAAAGAATATTTTTATAAAAAATAAGGATAAAAATGATGCTGAGGAAGAGCCGATACGTGTAAATAAATGGGACGGTGCTAATGTGAAGAATACATTGGATGACACTGTGAAGAAGGTGATTTGTTTTTATTTTAATAAAAAATATTTTACATAAAATATTCATTAAAAATGATTTGTTCCAATTAAAATTAGATAATTAATGACAACTATGGTTGGACTGAATGCCACTCGTTGGCCAACGGACGTTTGGCTCTCTCATTTCTGGCAGTGGCTTTTGCCGGTTTCGCTCTCGTCTACGACTACTTCCGTCCTTTCCCCGCATCTAAATCTGTGAGTCTTTTTTAAATAAAATTTGATTGAATCCCTTCTTTAGGTTCTTGCCTTGTGTTCAATTAGTTATTTTGTTATGATTTTTATATTGCAAATTTATCAGTGGTATGTGGAGAAGTTAACTTTTTACCAAGCGATGGAGTCAAGTAAAGATGAAAAAAGCCCGCCCAGTTACTGGAAATGGTCTTCTGACATGAAGCGGTTTTTTTGTTTCGTTTTATTTATTTGATTATTTTCTAGATATGATGACAAGTATATATTGATTGCTGAGTTCTCACAAGGTACTAGGTCTGGAACAATGAAGGTGGTCAAATCAATTGCCGCTTACATTAGCGAGGATGGGGAAGTTCTTTTACCCTTGGTGAAGAAAGAGGTGGACCAGTTACGAAACAATCTTCTCAAGTCAGACAAGGCGGAATAATCTGATAATCTGAACAGGGGAGTATGTCTTAAAAGATATTTTTCTGTTGTTATATTCTTACGCCGGCTATTTTTCCAAAATTTAATGGCTACACTGTTAAAATTGAGAAAAATAGCCGTTGCAGTTTTTCTATCTATTTTTATCTTCTTGTCTTTTCGTTTTTGTTAATTATTTTGGTGATGTTTTATTTTTTGAATGCCTAACGTTGAAAATGTCGGCATTTTCTTTCAATTTGTCTCCTTATTTTTTATGATAGATTAAATTTTAAAATTAATCTTTCATTAAAAATCTAATTTTTGAAAAAGATATAAATAAATTCATTTTTTTTCTTTGTAAATTGTGCATATTCCAATTTATTTCGGGAACCCTTCGCTTATACCTATGTATTTGGACTTGTTTTTAGGCTAACAAGGATGCAAAATCTTTAAAATTTTTTAGGAGATAAGTTCAGTTTTCGATGTTTCCTTGTATGCTAAGATTTTTTACGTATCGATAAAAATTCGCTGATTTTAAATTTTTTTGTTCATAAATTGTTGCTTTATTGCAATATTTTTATTTATTTTGAGTACATCTTGGACTTTACCTTAGTCGGCGCTTTTGTGTTAATTTCCTAAATCGGTATAGCCAATAACCTTTTTCTTTACAATTTAAAAATTTTTAGTTAAAATTCTGGGTTGGCTGTGGTCCTATTCACTTATTTTTAACAACATCGAAAGGTACATAAGCCCAAAAAACCAATTATTATTTTTATGGATCTCGATGGCAGTCAATGTGTTCCGACACCATCAACTTCAACTGCAATATTAAATCAAAATAGTGTTGGATTGGATGCTAGTTTTGTAAAGGTTTGATAGAATTAAATAAATTCTCCAGTATGTTCTAAATAAATTTATATCTGCTGGCGCTTGAGTCTTATTTTTACTCATTTTCTGTAAAATATTTCGGCCATAGGAACTCATTTAAAAAATTTTTTTAGACAAACTATTTTCATAAATTTATTTAGTCGATTGCTGAACAATTGGGTATTGAATTGCCGGTCGTTTCATGTCAACAAGTATCGGATGAAGTTTCTGCCCATCTTCGAAAGATTTTAAAACTTGTACGTAAATTTCACAAATGCAGTAGACGGCGGTGGATTACTGCAGATGATTTGGAGGTTGCAATGGCTTTTTATGGTCATTCTCCAGTATGTTTTAATTAAAATTATGAAATGTTTGGAATTAGATGAGACATTTTTTTTTGAAATTGGGATAGTGAATTGATTAATTTGATCTGCTTTAGCTCATGTCCAGCTGTGAATCTACTGATCCTTCCCTCAGGCATGTTGGTAAGCAGGGGCGTGATGTTTTTGTCTGCGATGACCAAGAGTATGAAATTGGAACATTTTTATCTTCGCCATCTGGAAAGATGCCACTAGAAACAACACTTAAAGGTAATTGTTTCTAAATTATTTTTATAATTTTATAAAAATTTCTCTCATTAGCTCATTGGTTGGTTATCACCGGAACACAACCAGCAATCCCAGAAAATCCTTTGCCACCTGCTCCCCCTGAAATTTGTCTTTCTGATGATCATGCTCAGGAGCAGGCTCTTGTAAATGGCTCTACGGGTAGTGGTGGTTTTTTCCTCAATCAGGCTGCCAAAACAATGCGTAAAACAGAGCAAGTTCAACTTAAATCAACTATAACACATTCATTGTCTTTGGTATTTGAGAACATTTTTATTTTGTAGAAAATTTCTTTTAGGAGCAGCAATTATTCTTCCTCAAGATTATGGAGGCTATTATGGGTCAAGATGAGCAGAAACGCATTGTAAGTAGAATTAGACTATTTTTATAGGAAAACATTTCTTTGGTTTCATAATAGGTCTTGTGGGAAGAATTTTATTCTCGTGTAAATGTTTTATTTTTACAAATTTTAGGAAGCATTGAATTGCTTGCAAATGGATTGTGGTCTTCGCTCGCTCCTTCCAAGATTTTGTATTGCTATAACTGAAGGAGTTAGCCTTAATTATCTTTAAAGGTTTAATTTAACTATTAAGGTTCGATGCAACATAGTTGTCCATAATATGGCTATTCTGGTCTACCTGGTTTGTTTTGGGTTTATTACGAGTTTTTTTATAATGTTTCGATTCTTTAGGTCTGTTTTGGGGGTTTTATTATATTTTTTAAGATGCGTATGATCCAGGCTCTTTCTCAGAATGCTGCTCTCTCATTAGAGCCTTGTGTAAGCTCTACTACTATTATTGCTTTTAAAATATAAATGACAGCTTCATGAACTCTTGCCTGCAATGATGTCTTGTATCCTTAGCCGTCAACTTTCATCCAATCAACACACTTCTGAAACTCACTGTGTGCTTCGTGAATTTTCAGCAGATTTGCTTGCTCAATTACTTAGGTTTTATCAATTTTTTGGGAGAGCTTATTTAATTTTTATTTAGGCATTATCGTCTACCGCATATTCATACTCGAGTAATTCGCGCTCTTTCAAGGGCTTTTACAGACCAAAACATTTCTTTGCCTACTTTGTATGGTGCTACTTTTGCTATATGCGAGCTCGGCGCTGATGTTTGCTTGATCATTTTTTTAATTTTTTATTTTTAAATTTAGGTTATCCTAAGAATTTTGCTGCCAAATTTGGCGACGATCTGCGAAACTATTCAAAGAGTACATTCTGACAAATTGTATATTAATGAGCGTTCTTTGGCTCAACGGTTATATAATAAATTGGTGGTTAGTTTATTTGAATTAAAAAAGAAAATAAATAAATTCCTCATTCAGGAAAAATTAAGTGCTTTTGCGCGTGATTCAAACTGCGTGCTGCAGTTGCACACACTTGCTGATTATCGTGATCATTTTGTTGGATTAGCAGAAGACATATATAAAGTGTGCAAAAACAACAACAATAATATTATAACTACACAGGTACATCAATAATTTGTTTCTTCAGAGAATCGTTTTATTATTTCCTTTGTCATTTCTTTCGGTTTTGTATATTTATTTTAAATTGGTCGGGTACGAATTTGGTATTCAACCAATTTATGTACTCTGCCTAGTACTATAGACCTCATAATAATTATATTTTCAATACAGAAAATATGCAGAAATTAAATATATTTTTTCTACTCATTCAGTGGACCTCTTTCCAAAATTTTTGTTATCATTTTATTAGAAAGCAAATTGAAAATTTATTATAAAGCAAATTGGAAGCAACCCTTCTTGGCATTCACTTAGGTAATTCCAGATAGTGTGGGTCATTTAAAAGCTTTCTGCTTCATTATTTGCAAACCTAGCAATGTTTAAACAATCTGTTACGAAAGTTAATCATCATATTTCATTTTTATTCAAGCTACAACAGAGCTAATTTGACTTGTCGGTTTGCAAGTAATAAACAGAAATCTTGAGTTAGGTTATCATGTTTTGTGTGAATGCCAAGCAGGGCGTTCTTTATGGAATTTTTTTCAATTTGTTTTTATCAAAAATTGTCTAATAAATATTTTTTATATTTGTATTACTTTATCGAGGTAATAAGAATAAGATCAAATAATTGATGGAAATTTTAGATTTCTGTTAATGTTAGAGGGCACTTTTTTAGCTTAATCTATGCTAATCACACTAATTAAGCTAAATTATAACATAATAGGGAAGGAAAAAACCTTGATCTATTCTTAACTTAAGTAGGGCCTTAAAATCTAATCTCATTTTCCAGAAATTGACTAATAACGATGGGTTTCATATGTTTCAAAAAGTGTTATAAACCTGATAGTGTTTAAACTATTAGACTAAATTATTAGGTCTAAATCAAATTTTGCAGCACTGATTTTTGAAAACACTCATATATGCTTTTGTAAACTTTTGTAAAAAAATTTTCTGTCAAAAATTTAATAAACTTACCGAAACATAAAATAAAAAGGAATTGGTTTAATGTTTAAGTTAGTTTTTCTCTCCCTCTCTCAGTTCTACTTTTTTTGAAAGCACAAAAAATAAACTTGTAGAAAGCACTTAAATTAATAAAAAAATAAAAAGTTGTGGGCCGTGACCGTGAAAATTACATAACGAGAAAAGAAAATTAAAAGACTTTCTTTCCTTTAATTATTAATTCAATTTATTTTTGGAAAGTAAACATAATTAGGCAAAAAATTAACAAAAGATTTATAAAAAATTTAAACAATTGGAAAAGTCATTTAAATAAAAATAATATAAAAATACAAAAGGAAAAAACAAAAAAATCACAAAATTTTTTTATAAAAACTTTGTGAAAGAATTGAAGATGAGGAAAATTTTATATATAAAGGCGGGCCAAAAAGGTGTTAAAATGTCTTTTTAATGCATGACAAAATTTGTAAAATAATTTTATTAAATAAATTTATGTTTCTGGTTTGACATATTTTACTTTGTAAAAATATTGCCATTTAAAGAATGGAGAAAGGAGTTTGGATGTATCTACAATTATTTTTAATTATTTTTAATTGCAATTATATTTTGGTCTATTCTATTTTGGAACCAAAATTGTGAGAGAAATTTTGATTTTTGAATTAATATAAATTTTAAAAATTTTCAAAAAATCTTTTTCAATTAGCCGACCTCCCCGTGCAGCACCAGGAACACCACCTGACGGTGGAGGTATCGATATAACTGAATCGCTTACTCAAGAGTCAATTAATTCAAATAATATGCCATTACCTGTAGTGCCTGTACTTAGACCTCCCCCAGGCTGGGGATCTCCACCATCCATTCCAGATCCTCCAAGTATACAAACACCGACTGGTAATTTAAAATATCTTTTCTCATCTAAATAATCTTGATTAATAGATTTAGCTTCAATTAATGCAGCCAGTCCTCCAGGCTCTACAATAGAAGAAACATTAAGTATTGCTGAGAGAGGAATTGCCGGACCACTCATTCCAAAAGTACCACAAATAACACCACCTCCTATAATTCCACCACAAGAAACTATTTTGGAAAGTCGCTTAATTTCATCGCCAATGGGGTTACAAATTAAATATTAATTGGTAGAAAGGCTTCTCTTATTAAGATGCCAAGAATGGGACCCAAAAATCTCTAGCTAGGGCCTTACATCGTTTTTTTCATCGTAAGATTTTAGGAATCCAGAAGCCGGGTTGTGTGCTCTATATTTATCATTAATTCTAATATCTTATTAAATTTAACAGCATCAGCAGGAAAAAACATGGATATGGATATCAAAGATACGAGATGCCGCCTCCCCCTCCACCGCCTCCACCACCACCACCGCCTCCTCCGCCACCACCACCGCCTCCACCACCTCCTCCACTTCCGCCGCTTCCTCCACCGCCTCCTCCCCCACCACCACCACCACCACCTCCCCCACCTCCTCCACCTCCTCCTCCTCGTCCTCGGCCACCACCAGAATATATACCTTACGAAAAGAAGTATTATTATAAAGGAGGAGATGGTTCATCATTAACACCACCATGGCTATGGAGATCTACAGATGAGGAAATGGCTTGGAAACGACATAAACCAAGAATGGGATATTATGGATGAATATGTAGATAAAGGATGTAATCTATATTTTGTATATTTTTTATTTAAATATTGTTTTATTAAATAAATTTTAAAAAAATAGTAACAACTCTTATTGTTTGAGGTTTATTAACTGATACTCAAATTCTTGGGCTGAAGGGTTTAACATACCTAATAATTAAAATTAAAAAATGATTATCCTCAAATTAATTTTTAATTTTACTAAAATTTGTTGTGTGGAATGATCTAAAATTTCCAAACAAACAAATAATAATTTTCAAAAAATTTTCTTTTTATTGCCCCAAGCAACGGCTGCACCTTGTTTGGTGACACATTCAAAAAAAGAAAAACAGGAAATAATCTAACAGCAAAAGAGAGATGAAAATCGATGAGAAAACAGCCTTAAAAGACTTTCCAAACTCCCCCCGATTTTTATTTTTCCTTTATTTTGAATTGCGCGATCGCTGCTACACCTTAACGAGAATATTTAACAAAATTAATTTTTTTTTGTAATTTTTATATTAAATATGTAGCTTGTAAGATTTTTATAGATGTAAAATATGTAGAGATTTAAAGAATTTGGAAAGCATAGAAAATCCAGACTTGGATTTGGATTTTCTCGCTATAGCAAGCTTTAGCCTTTGATATAATAAAATAATAATGACTAATATTTATTTCTTTTAAAAATTATAAAATGTTCATTATTTTCCTTTACAATTTATTATTTCATGCATCCATTTAAACTTTATTTATTAAACTTTAAAAACTATTTACAATTTATTAAAAATTTATTATTTTAAAAATAATTTTTATAAACCACCGTTAAAAAGTTACTTCTTTATCAGCTGGTCCCTAGGGGGCGGACTGTAAATATTTATTTAATCTTTAACCTTTATTAAATAAAAAATATTCTTTTTAAGTTTATGTACTAACTCTCAACAATAATTTTAATATGCGCAAGTTCTCAACATTTATTTTTTACTTTTAAGGTCTATTGAATAACATTAACACTTTAAATTATTATTTTTTCTAAAAAAGCAATCCCCCTCGTTTTTATTTAATTTTGCACTTCTCAAATTATTTTTTAAATAAATATTTTCTATATTTTTAAAGAAATTAAATAAAAGATTGGAAATATTTAAATAAAAATTAAATTTAAAATGGCTTCTTCAACCTCTGTTGGAGGGGGAATATTTTCAATTAATTCAATCTTCCCCCTTTCCGTTGCTCAAATTGTTTCTTTATTTCTATTATTAATTGGGATTATAATTGGATTTGCAGCTATTCTTACACCTAGGTTAATTAATTAATTTTTAATTAAAATTGTGAGAGAGATATTCTAATTTTTAAAAATATTTATTTGAAGGGGAAAGATTTTTTTCTTAATTTTTAGCTTAATTCTATTTAATTATTTTTAATTATTTAGTTGGCAAGTTGTTTATGCACGTGAAATTGATCAATGGGTATTTAGCGGTTTATGGCTAAATTGCCAAACGAGGTGAAAAATATATTTTTACAAAAATTATTTTGTTGAAAAAAAGTAAAAAAAATTTTTTTTACACAATCAAAAGTACTTAAAATTATTTTAAATTTTTACAAAAAACCCCCCAAAATACCTAATTTATTCAATTATTAAAGACCAAATGGAATGCATGCCTGTGTTTACAGTTTATCAACAACAGATTATTCTTCTTCCTCATTATCCTCGCCAACAGAAGCTTTTAATAATTTACGTTCCCCTCCCTTTCACGGATGGCAAAAAACTTTATTATTTATTTTATTAATTGCTCAATTATTGGCTATTTTAAGTTTATTCTCTTTGTCTTTATCTTTTCATTTACCCACCAGAAAATTATCTGCTTTTATTTTTATTGGATTTTTGGCTGTTTCTGGTAATTTTTTAAAATATTTTTTAATTCAAATTAATTATTTTTTTAAAAGTATTTCTACATTCTGGTGTAGCTATTGCTTTTGCTGTTCTTTCACAAATGGTGCTTTTTTTATTTAAAAAGATTATAATTTAAAATTTCGTTTATCTTTCGAAAATACTTAAATTAATAAAATTACTATTCCTCAATTGAAAAAGAACGTCAAGTAGAGTTGGGCGGGATAGTGCTGGATTATCCCGGTCTTTTTGAATCCCGATCCCAATTTTTCTGATTCCGAGGCCGAATTTAAATCCCGATCCCGCAGTCGGAACCGGGATCGGGATTATTATTCCAACATCCCGATTTTATGTCGGGATCCCGATCCCGACCAACCCTAATGCCAAGGAAATATCAATAAAATTAAATATCTCCTTTTGGGAAGAAGAAATGGATTAAGGAGAAGTAAACAAAATTTTAATAATTTACTTTTATTAACAAAATTAAAATTATTTTTATATATGTAGGTAGAATATCGTTTCTTTCATGTCAGTGTTAGTGGAATTTATGAGGTTTAATAATAAACTTTTTTTTTAAATTTGAAATTAATTTAGAAACATCGTGGATATTCTTTTTTATTAGAATTAATTTCCATAGCTATTTTAATTACTACTTTTTTACCAGCAACAATACATTTAGCTCAAGTAATTAGTCAAAATAGTCAAAAACAAAGGAATCGTTATGAAAGTCCATCTACTATACCTACAACTATGACTATGGTAATTTTTAAAAGAATATGTATTTTAATAAAAGGGCACTCTCTAATAAATTGTATTCTTTAAGATGCAAAAATATTTTTATATTAAATTATAAATATAATCTAAATTTAATTTTTTTCCAAATTCTCTTTCTAATAAAAATAAAAATATTTTTAAGTAAAACTGAATATATGTAGGTATTGAATAATAAAATTGAATAAAAAAATTAAATAATGAAAAATTTTTTTTTAAAGAAAAATAAAAATTTCCAGGGTCAATTAGGAGGAATGGATACCTATAACAGTCAAGACGATCCATCTCCATTTGGAGATCACCGTCACCAATTTCAACAACAATTCTGGACAGATGAAGATGAAGAAGAGCGTTTTGCAATGAGGCAATTACCTCCATTACCTAGAAGACAACCCCAAAATGTTAATTTTTATGGAAGAAATTTTTAAAGAAAATGAAAAAATAATTAAATATTTGGTGATCTCATTTGGGTGTTTTTAAAAGGAAATAAATTTGTTTTTAATTGCCATTTTGTTTTTAAATTTTGTTTGTAATTTTTTAAAATAAAATTGACAATTAATTATTTGGATTTGGTCTTAATTATTTTTTAGTAAAAGGTTTTTAAAGCAATTTTCTTTTCTTAAACTTTCTTTTTCGAATTTCTAGCTTTTCAAATTTAAATAATTTTTATAATAAGAGGAAGGTTGGATTTTTAAAAAAATTATTGGATAAACTATAAAAATAATTTAAATAATATTTACATTTATTTAAAATTATAAAAACCCAAGGACACAATCGATTGTTAAAAGGCCTTGACAACCATTGGATACATGCAATTGTAAAAGAACAGAAATAATTATTTTAAAATAAATCTTTTTTTAAATTCTTTTTTGTTAAATTTTTTTAAAAATATTTTTATTTTTAAATTTGCTCATAAGAAGAAATATTACTAAAATGTAAATAAAGTAATTCTTCCACAAAATTTATTGGAGAATAATTTTTTAAACAGAAAAATCTAATAAAAATCCTAAATATCCCCAACTTTTGGTTTTAACTTGTCAAAGTATATATTTGAATACAAAACTAGATATTGGATCAAACTGACGTCGGAATCATACCGTTTCTAGGTTTTGACATGCTGCCCTAATTATAAATATTCACGAACAAATACTAGCCCTTACATATTCTCGTTCAAATCCCCTTTTTGAAATTTACAATTTTAAATTCCTCACACTCCCCATGTGATTACCAATTAAAATAAAATCTTTCCCTCCTTCAATCAATGTGTACATATTTAGGGTCAACAACCAACCAACCAGCCACCTAACAAATAATAAAAAAAAAGGAGAGAATCATCCTCTCCATTTTCCTTTTGCCATCATAAAAACTCGTTTTTGCGCCGTCGTCTTCCTCTAAAAATTTCCCATGTTTACGACTTTCCACCTCTTTTCAAATATCCCCCCAAAAATTTTTAATTTCTTTTCCTTTTCTTTATTTTTTTCTTTGTCCTAAATATTCAAATTTTATTACTTTTTCCATGGAATTATTATTTTTATTTTGAAATTTTTAATCAATATAAACACAATTTATAACTAGGCGTGAATGTTTAAATCCCAAAAGCTTTCATCCCTTCATTAGGATCATTATTAAAAATATTATTCCATCACTAAAAAATATTTTAGTCAGTTTTTGGGTTTTCAACCAATGTCATGGAAATTAAAAATTTTAAAAGACATACCTCTCATTCTGTTAAGAAGTGGCATCCTAATTATATTCGAAGTCTCCATCTATTAGAAATTAAAGATTTACAGTTTGTTTAATAAGGTACCACTTAATTAGAAAGCTGATAACCTTCTAATAATAAGTGCGGCTTATTGAATGTTTCCTCCAATATCTGTAGATATTTTACACTCATTCTAACTCTTAAAAATATTAAAAAATATTTTTTACTTTCTTCTAGTATTTCTGTTCATGTTTTGCATAATTCCATTATTTACAATTAAAAATGCCTCTTCAACTAATAAAAGATAATTTATGGGGAAATATATCAAAATTAAGAATAACAACTTTAATATTAACAATTTCAGCAGAATTTCTTTTATTTATAGCAACATTAACGCCTTCCTGGCAAGTTGCGGAAGATACAGATATTCATAGAAATATCCAAAGCGGTCTTTGGATTTATTGTCCAGGACAATCACAATGCTGGTATATATTTAGTGATGATTTAATTAGTAAGTTTTTTTTGTAAATAAAATGAAAGAAAGTTTATAATTTGATAGATAATGATTTAAAAATTTACATAGATAACTCAAACTCGGTATGAGGATTGTATGTATAATTTGATAGGTAAGAGTTTCTCCTTTGGAGAGGCTTATACATATTGTACTTCCCTACAAGGAAAATATAATTAAAGCACTTAAGATTAACCAAGTTGGCTTAGGAAACATCTAATAGTTGATCAACAGGCTTAATTTTGTGTTGGGCTTTTTCAATTTTAAATAAATATTAACCTGATTATAAATTTTATTTCAATAGATTATTATGAACGTGTAGAAGTTTGTCGATTTTTATTAATTGGAGATTGCCGTAAAAAATTATTGAGAACTCCCTACTTTTTTGGTTGGCATTATGCTGTTCTTATTTTAATGTTTATTACTTTATTACTTGGAGGTGGAGCTATTTTAGCTTTGGGAATTGGAATTGTTAAAGAAAACTTACTTAGAACTATGACTGTAAGGGGAATTTAGATATGTTAAAAAATATATCTTTTTAGATAATTTTGGATGTTTTGCTGGGGTTTGCTTGTAAGAATTAAATTTTTAAAAATATTAATTTTTAAAAATTAAAAAGTTTTACTTTGTGGAATTGGGTTAGCTGTTTTTATGATAAATGGAGAAATGTTAGAATCTCGTTATTTAATTGGTGTACAAAATATATTTCCTGTTTAGTTTTTAATTTTTAAATTAATTAAATATTTTTGTTAGAAATCTTATGGATATTCTTTTTATTTGGCATGTTGGGCAATGCTTGTTTTGCTTTTTGCATTAATGTACAATTTAATTGATAAAAATATATTTGGACCAGTTCTTATTTTCTTAATTTTTATTTACTATTCCTTAAAATATTTCTACTTTTATAAATTTATTTTGAGTTACTTCCTAAGTAAAATTACGGGGAATTTTGAATCTTTTGAAGTTTTTTTTCAATATATACTCACACTCACTGGGCCAATTTTAAATGGCCTTTCATTTGCCTTCCTAAACCTAATATACCGTAAATGCTGAAATAATTACCGTGGGTAATTATTGTTTGAATCTCTCATTGGAGGGGGTAATTATAAGGGAGGATGTGCTGCTTTAGGTTATATCTCAATCCAAATGAGGTGAAATTGAATTATTTTTTGATATTGAGTATTAAAATTTTCCACTAATTAAATTTGATAATAATTTTTTAAATATTTTTAAAGTTTGCGTAAAATAACTAGAGGGTAATTATTTGAGAGAGTAACTATTTCAGCATTTACGGTGTGTATACCTAATTCTAATTTATCCAAAAATACCCTCCTAACTATCAAATCCTTCTTTTTTTTATTTTTAGGAGTGCCATATTACTTACCAGTTCAGTTTTCTTTTCCCGAGAAGTAGATGCTGGTTCCCCAGTTCCATATGGAGATTATGATGAGGAATATAATAATAAAGAAATACTTCCCCCACCAATATTAAAATGGCAACAACAAGAACAATTTGAATATCCTTCACAATATTATCCAGAAATGGAAGGAAGAAATAGTAGAAGAATTGATGATAATAGTTTAATATTTAGACAAGTAAATTAATTAATTAATTTTTTGGGAAGGTTGTTGTTCTCTCTCGTTTTCCCTTCCACTGTTCTCAAAGTAATCGTCCTCTTAATTTATTATTCTTAAAACAAAAGTCATCAACTACTTTTCGGGGAAATGAGGGATAATTTAGGCTTCCCTCCCCCCCCCCCAATTCCCAAATTTTTATTTTCAAAAGTATTTTTTAGCCTTCTCCTCCTCCACTACAATATCAACAATCTCCAGTAAGATTTGAAGATTACAACAACAATATAAGACAGCAAACATTTCAAAAACATTATTACGCCCCAATTAATGAAATAACCTCAATTCCTTAATTTTTTAAAATCTCATTTTCTAATTTTTATTTTCTTAAATAACTTGAAGAAATAGTTAAATTGAATTTTTTTTATTTTATCTATTTTTTATCCAAATTAATTAATTTTAATTTATGCAGCAAAACTGCAACAAAAATATTTAAAGTATTATTTACATTAAACATCCCCCATAAATTTAAAAATAATTAAGGATCTTTCAGAATTAACTAGAGAGTAGAGATCGAAATTTTTGAAAAGCCTGGACCTGTTCCTGGACTCTGGGTTTGATTTATTGACCTGGACTGGGTCCTAGGCCTTTAGTCCAGGAAAAACCCAGGCCTAGAAAAACCTAGGAAGGTCAAAAAATGCCTGGACTGGACTCTGGGTACAGGAAAAACCCAGGCCTTGGTCCAGGTCCAGCTCGATCTCTACTAGAGAGTTAGTTAACTGTAATTTTTTAAACAGAAATTTTTTTAGTACCCCAAAACCTATCGAAAAAATTTTCAGTTAAATAGTCCCTTAAAAAGTTTTTAGTTTATAATAGTTTTTGTTAATTTTAAAAATAATTAAACAAAACAGAAAAATAATACATAGTAGGTAAATAATTACAAATTTTTTAACAAAACTAAAAAAAATATAAAAAATAATATTTAAATACATACAAAATATTTACATAAAAAATACTCGTAAAAGAGTTTATATAGATATAAACAGGGAATGTTTAATTTTATGTCTTCATATTTAAAAAAATGGAAGGGGGACCAAATCCGATGGGAATCAACCAAAAAAAGCTTTAATTAAATAAACTGAGTAGATAATTTTGAAAAAAATTGGCCCGATTCAAATTACAAAAAATGTTTTGGTTTTTTCGATTTTGTTAAAAAGTTACTTCATCTTGGACCCAAAAATATTTGTCGGTTAAGTAAACACAATCGGCTATTTAAAAATATCTCCCCTTCCCCTATTTTTTAAAATTAATTATATTCTGTCTATCTCTTGGAATAAATAAACACAAAAGGGGTAGAGCTGTCCGAGACCGAAAAACCCCAAGAAAAGTTTTGAGTCAAGACCAAGAGTCTCGGACAGCTCTAAAAAGGAGCACCTTTCTAAAATCTACATATTATTGTGAGTCATTATTAATAACAAAACTAAGAATGTCTGTATGTGAAATAACACCACATAAACGTTCTCCTTTTTCATTATTTGTTGACTTTGGTGAGGAAGGAGATGATGAGGTTGGCTCGGTAATAAATAAAGAACTAATGAGATTATCCTGAAAATTAGAAGAAAATTAGAGACTAAAATATTTTTTTATGATTTTGGAAATTGAGGGCGAGTACGGATGTCAATGTTTCAAGGATAGATCCTGAAGACGGGATATAATTCCGGAAGCCAGTCCAAACTCTATTTCTTAAATTTATTTCCCATCCCCTTAATAATTAATCAGCCTTTTCAATTCTTTGTCATTGCCCTTCCTAATTTATAAAATATTTTTAAATATTTCCTCACTTCCGTTAAAATGCGCATAGCATCAACAACAGAACAATTAGGAGAAACAGTTCTACGTCTTGTTTGGGAAAGTAAATCCTTAAATTATTTAAAATTAAAAATAATTTTCTCCCAAACTTTCTCAACCTCAACAGGAGTTTCCTCCATAAGTCTAAAACAACGTTCAGGTGTTTGATGAGAGCCTAAATGTTCAAATAGCCTATCCAAAAGTCCATTTTTGTCTAAAACACCCAAAAGACTTCCATCATTAGAAGAAAGTACAGGAAGTGAAGAAACTTGCCTTTAAATTAAAATTTTTTTTTCAAAAAAAAATTAGGAAAAAACTTTTCTAAAAATAAATCAATTGCTTGAGCACAACTTTGGCCTTCTTTAATTGTTGCTATACTTTCTGGCCCTCCCCAAATTCCAATAAGACGAGAGCCAAGAGTTATTGATTTTAAATCTGGAGATAAAGAACAACCAGAAGAAACTAGTTTTAACAATTCTTGGGTTATTTGGCGAGGACTAAGTACTCCAACTAATTCAAATGATTCAACATTAAATACAGGAACTCGATGGACACGATTTAATGCAAAAACGCGTGCCAAGTCCCAAGCACTGTAAAATTAAAGGAAATTAATTGAAAAAATTGTAATTATATTTTTAATTAAAAAATAAATATTTTTGGTAAAATTGGTTTTAAGTAAGGAAAGCAATAATCTTTAGTTTCGTCCAAATTCCGATAAAAAGCTAATTATTAATAGTTTTGATTCTAATTACTCTTAATGCAAAAATATATGTATATTTTGATATAATTTAGCCCATGATATAATGTACCGTATTTGCTAAAATAATTACCAAGGGTAATTACTGTTTCAACCTCTCGCTGTAGGGGGTAATTAATAGGGCGGGGGTAATTATTTGAGGGAGGGACATTATTTCAGCATTTACGGTGACCCTTTTCTTGGATGTCGTTATATTAAAGACTCTTTATATTAGAATAAATATGATATTTTGATATGTATAATGTAGTCAAGAATATTTTCCGAAAAAGAATAATTAAGTTTATTTTATATTTTTAAATTCAATTTTTCAAATTTTATTTTAAAAAATTCCAAAAATATTTTGCATACCAAGTCTGGTCATCAACGGAAATTAAACGTCTACCATTTTGAATTTGTTCAATAAAAAAGCGAAGAGTTTGCTCACCCAATTGGCCATCTAATTTACGATGTGCTTGGCTTAAAGCCAACAGACAGTCTGTCACTGTAAATGGGGCCCATTGACCGTCAACTATTTTTTAAATAAAAAATTTATTTAAAAATACTTTGGACTTTAATATTTTTAAATTACAATTTAAATACCTCTAGCATTTGCAATTACTGCAAAACGGGGGGCCATATGTGAACTGAGTAATTGAACAGCTTTTTGAATCTTAAAAGGGGAAGGGTAACTAAAGAGCAAGCAAGGATTTACTTGAAGTTCAGAATCCATCATTACAATCATTGTATGGACAGAGGATAAATCATAACAACTTAGTGACTGAAGAAAATTTCGATATGCTTCAGAATGGCAACTATCTAAATTATAAGGAACTGTTTATTTCTCATTTACATAAGACTTACGAAAAGACCCAACAACTTCAAAACGGTCAATACTTTTACGAAGAATTGCATAATTCTTTTAAAAAAGAATTTTAGAAAATTAATTTAAAAATTTTTACAGCATTAAGTAAAGAGCGTTCAGGAATTGAAAGTCTTCGATGTCCAGCCCTAGCTTTATCCGGACTTAAACTACTAGCAAATTTTCTTTCATCTCCGGATTGTCTTTGATGTCCCATAGAAAGTTTTCTAACAGCTACAATTCGTCTTTTACTACAAAAATCTTTTTCCTCAGAATTATTATTGTTATTGTTTGTTGTTGGGAACTAAAAAAATTAAATTAAAAATTAATTTGAAAAAAATAAAATGAGAGAAAAAAAGAGAGAGGGGGTGAAGAGGGGTAAACTTGATAAAAAAATATTTTAACTATTAAAATTCTCACAAGGCTGAACATTGAACAGATGATTTTAAAAAGGTTTTGTGTACTTTTTAAAAGGGTATAAATAAATATAAAGTTGAATTTAGTCTAAAGCTTATCGATTTGGGGGAGCCGGAATTAATTAATCATAAAACTTTTAAATCCTCAAGATTATAAAAAAAAGTACTTGAAAATTAAAATAAATAAAATTAAAAAATTAAAAAAGAAAGCACCTAATTAAATAGTATAATTTAAATAAATAAAATATAGAATATTTTGTCTCTCCATCCAAAAAATTTTTTTTATGAAATTTAATGAAATAAATGTAATAAATAATTGTTAGAAAATTTAAATTAAGATTGTTCACTACCGGTTATTAACCGGTACCCTCGGTTTTCGGTTAATCCAAATTTTAGAAACCCGGTTTTCGGTTTTGAGTTTTAGACAAATACCGGTTTTATTTTGGGGGAATTTTTAAAAAATCACTCATTTTTATGAGTTTCCGGTTTTTAAAATTTCATAAATACAGTTTAATTTTGGCAAAAAATATTAAAAAATCCAATTTAAAAACCCGTCTTAATCAACCCTAGTTTAAATTATAATGGAATTAATTAAATGGGAATTAAAATTTAAAAAAATAATTAAATTAACTATAAATTTACCAAAAATATTTATTTTTTTTTCTAAAAATAATTCCCAAATTTTTCTAAACATTTTTTGGGAAAAGGATCCATTTATGAGAAGCTGAGAATTATTTTTAAAGAAAAGGGAAAGGAGGGTGTGAATAAATAAAAAAAGAAACAAACAAAAAATATTTAACAATAAAGCTTATTTTCATTAAAATCGATTAAAAATAAAATAATTTGTTATTAAAAGATACTTTAAATTAAAAAATTAAAGATTAAAAAATATTTTAGAAAATTTCAAAAATTGCTTCGTAAAGACCAATTGAAATAGGAAAAGCCAAAGTGGTCGTAAACATACATATTTCCCCCAAAAATACGATTGTCCTAGGATTACCGTATAACCTGTATTAATTGCCCTCCCTCAAATAATTACCCCACTTCTATTAATTACCCCATCCAGTGATAGATTGAAACAATAATTACCCTCTCAGAAATGCCCTAAAACACGTTCAAATTTAAAACCTCGTATAATTACCCTCCCTCGATTAATTACTCCCTCCAGCGGAAGGTCGAAACAATAATTACCCAGGGTAGTTATTAAAGGATATACGGTACTTTTGAAAAAATAAAGATTTTGAAAAATATTTGGTATGAATTGATAGCCAATAAAAAATGCTACAAAAAATATATTTACAATAAATTCGTCTGAGATAATTTAATCGAGTTATCGATGGTTTTATTTTTTAACATATTGCCGAAATGTATAATGTTTAAAAGGAGACACAGGGCTGTTACTTTTAGTAAATTATACAGGTATTCAATTAAAATTTAATTTCTAAAAAATTACTTGAAGTCTTTAGGAAAGAAAATTACAAGTAATTGTCAAATACTTGATAATAAATAAAATTAAAAATATACATAGCCAAAAAATGTGAATAATTTTTAAAGATCGTTAAAATCTAAATAAAATTATTAAAATATTTATAAAAAAATAAAGGAAATTCTCTAAAAAATAAAATAAACACAATTTCATGAACATTCCACAAAAAAAAAATAAAAATTTATGGAACACACAAAATGATAAAAATATTGAAAAAAAGAGAGATTAAAGTGTTAAATACCCTCAAAAGTTTTTTTAAAATAAAAATAAAAAATCTTCTTTTTAATAAAAAAAAGTTCTTTTTCTTCACAAAAGTGTAAAATGATTAATTTAAAAATTAAAAAAGAATGTAGCCAAAAAATGTGTGATTTTTATTTTTAAAACAAAAGTTTTGAAGAAGAAAACACAAATAAAATATTCTCTCCCCTTCTAAATATTTTTTTATAAATTGTTTTCCCAAACAATTTGTGGTTGGAATGTTTAGAAATTAAATTAAATATATATCTGTTGCATCATTTTAAATATTATTTTAATTAATATTCAGGAATTGTTATTGTCCTTTTTTTAGAAGGAGAATTCTGGTTAAAATAAAAATTCCTCAGAATTTTTAAAAAGATTAAAAGAACGGACAGGAAGGGGGAAATTAAATGCTGCTCTCAAAAGAAAAATAAATAAAAACAAAATTTAAAGAAATTTCCGCCTAAAAAGAGAGAAGGATTACCAATAACATTTCCGGAAAAGTTTACATATTATTATTATTTTCCTTAAACTTCTATAAAAAGCTTAATGTACTAACTATTTTTAGATAAAAAAAGATGAAAGAATTTATTTATATTTAAATAAATCCTTACTAACAAAGCTATTTAAAGTATTTCATCTATTTTAGACAATGATCGAATACTTCCTTTCATTGACAGTTAGTTAACTATCTTCGTAAAGTTTATTTATAAATTGTTGGGATAGAGAGAAAGAGAGTGAACTATTTTTGAGTGTAGATATTTGGTAAAAAATTGTGATTTTTGGAGCAATAAATAAATAAATAGATACAAGACTAGAGGGTATTTCTAGAATTTCCAAAAAGGAGGAAGCTCAATAAAAAGGGCGGAAACCAAAAGTCAACATAGATTAGAAATAGAATCTTAAGCCCAAGAGAGTCATGATAAAGAAAGAAATTTTTGAGAAAAAATTAAATTCAATTCACCCACCCTATAAGTAACAGTTGTACAGCGCTCTCTAAATCCTCCCTCTTCTTCCTCAAAATCCTCCCCATCATTATTATCATCCAATACATTAACTTCGTCTGTTTCATTACTTCCATTTTTGCCGTCAATTGCTGATGTACTGATTTTGCTAATTTTTCGGCGTGGTTGTGAAGTCACGCTCAAACGATGCCCAGTTAGTGAAGCTACAGCATATTGACGCCAACTAAATAAATACATATATTTTAATAAACCCTGATTTTTCACATTATTCAAATACTTGTCAGTCCGGAATTAAATCGAAGAAACGAGGATTTTTTTGTTCGGTTCCGGATATCCGAAAATTTTCCAAGAACCGAAAACCTTAATTTTTTTACATTCTCTTACATCAAACTCAATATCAACTCTTACATATCCCAGATATAAGGGATGAAATAATACAATTAATTTTCTTTTATCAAATTAATCGCTTCAATCTATGTACTTAAATTATTCAAATACTTTCATCTATTAGATAGATAAATTGTGAAATTTATATGTATATTCTATAAAATATAAATTCGCACCTCTGACTTGTTTCTTCCATTTCTGGTGGAATAATGTTAGCCGGTGTTTCCTTTGGGTTAGGTAAAATACTAGCACATCCTTGTGTTATTTGGAAAGGACGTTCTCTTTGTTCCCAAATTGGTTCCATAACAAGTTCATTATTGCTACAATCTTTTGTGCAATTTAATTCCAAATCAGCAAAATCCAAAAGTCCTTCAGGTACAGGTATTTCTTCTTCAACATTAGAAGAATTTTGATGTTGATATGGAGGGGAGGAAGAATTATTACTACAAGCAATGCCTAAAATGCCAGGACGAAGAGAATGAGGTGGTGGTACTGGTTGTGGTGAAGAAAAATAACTATTTGAATAATAGGGAAGGAAGGCAGCTGCTGGAGGACATGGCAAAGGCACTGAAAATTATTAAATAAATTTATTTATTTTTAAAAAGTTTAAGAATCATAGTTACTTAATAATGATATATTTTGTAAAGCTGGAGAAATAAATATTAAAAGATTTAATTAATTTTTGGGGAACTGCTTTAGAGAATTTGGACCTATCAACATAAATAATTAAGGAAGAAGTTCAATAAAATTCACCGTCAGATAATAAAGTTTTCTTTGATTCCTCAAACATTATTGTAGAAACATAAAAATAGTTAAACTTATAACATAAGCTATACAATCATTTAATTTATAAAAATCCGGCCCGGGAAATATAGTCGTTAGACCAATTTGTAAGGCATAAATTGAATAAAAATTTTCAAAATTTTATTTAATAGGGTTGTCCCCCGACGGGGGGGGGGAGGCCACGGGGATAACTTTTCAGGGAGGCAGAGCTACGGGGGGGGGGGGGGGGCTCAAATTCCCCGACTCTCGGGAACGGGGAAAAACCCAATTATTTAACAATCTCTACCGGGTGTTCTAGGATGTTTATGACGTTGTTGACCATTATAATGGTGATTTAACGAAGAATTGACACCATTAAATGTTTGTTGTTGAATTGTTCTAGTAGTTGTTGGTGTTGAAGTTTGGACATTATTGTTGTTGTGTACAATATTAAAATGTTGGTGTTCTGTAGTAGTCATTCTACTAGTATTTATTTAAAAAGTGAAAATATTTTAAATGAAAGTGTTTGTGCACGCAAACAATTAATTAAAGTACGGCACGTTAAAAATAAAAATGTTGTTTTTATTTTATTTTTGTAGTTATTAGTAATTGTTTTTGTGAATAAAAAAAGGAAAAATAAAAAAACTGTAAATAAATATATTAAAGAAATTAAAATTAAAAGCTAAATAAATGTTGGAAAAGAGAGAGATGTTTATCAGAAATTAAATAAATGTTTAGGTAAATAAATTATGAAAAAAAATAAAAAAAACGTAGGGAATAAAAATTTAAATGGAGATAACAAAGGAACGTCAGTCAACTTTTTTTTTAAATAATTTAGAATTTTAATTTAGGTGTTTGAAAGTAATAATTAAAAAATATGGTTCTACGAAATAAAAAACAAAAAAATTGTGGGAGTTAGCCAAAACAAAATATCGTAAATTCTCTAGTATAAGCACACCCTACAACAGGATCGAAAAATAAAAGCATATTACTTCCATTAGAGAATTTACGGTATATTTGTAAAAAGTAAGTACTTATCAGCTGGCAATAAATGCACGCCCAACTGATCCCAAAAATGGTACCAAACAAAATTAAATAGTAAAGAATAAATTATTTTTTAAATAAAGATGTTTATTTAAAATACTTATTTTAAACAAAAATTCTTTAAACATTCTCTCTCCTTCACTTTTTGTTTTAAATTTTATTTTCTTTTCAAAAAATAAAATTAATTATTTAATTTTCACTCACCATAAATTAAAAACATTAAAAATTAATAAAAGAAAATATTTTTTAAAATAAATAAAAATATATTTCATATGCTTAAAATAACGCTAGAGCACTTTTTTAGACATGTACATTTTTAATATAAAGGGCAAAAAAATTATTTTTATTTTAATAATAACAAGAAGAAAATTTAAAATAAAACGGGTAGCAATTATTAAAAATAAATGTTTTTTACAATAAATATTTTTAATATTTAATAATATTTATTTATTTTAGAGATAATTAGTAGATAGAAAAAAAGAGTATTTTTTTTAATAAAAACAACATTTTTTTCTTTTTTTTGGATAAAAACAATTATTTAATATTTTCTGTAAAGTAACAATTTATTTTAAGTTTGTTTTTAATTATTTTTCAATATATTTTTCATTTTCTATTCATAAATTCTTAAACATTCTTTTTTAATTTTTGATGTCGGTATCTTTGAAGTTGATCCTCTAGGGCAACTTAAGACTAGGGTCATAATTTTCTTTGAGATAAAGTGTAAATCCAAAATAGAAAGTAGAAAAATATTGAATAGGACTTGATCCTTAGAGCTCTCCGATATAAAATTATTACCCATTCAACCATCCCAGTACCGACTAATCGTCTTGCCTTCATCTTTGTTTTATTTGATAGGCTGGGAGGAAAGGAAACTTCGCTGACCTTGCAATAAAATAAAAGTTTAAAAAAATTGTTTTTCTTTTTTTAATTTAAAAGTTGCCTATTAAACATTTAAAAAATTGAGAACATATGTAAAATATTTAAATTAAAAAAAAATTATTTATAGAAATTTATATGTAGACTTACATAAATATTTAAAAAATATTTTTTCACACACGAGAAAATGCCTTAAAAAAGACAGGAAAAAATAATATAAAAAAATGCACTTTTGTTAAAGAAAAAAACATTTTTTCTCAATTGGGGGGATGTTTGTGTATATTTATTTGGAAATAAGTGAAAAAAAAAGAAAGGACCAGTCAGAAGAACATGTGACTAATTTTGCGGAGAGTTTATTTTTGCGGACAAAAAATATTTTTTAATGAGTTAAAGTGCAATTTTTTAAAGAAAATTTTTTTAAGAAAAATCCTTATAATATTTTAGAATATTTAAAGAAGAATTTAAGGAAGGGCCAACTATAACCCCTAAAAATATTTTGATTCCAAAAATGAAAATATAGCATGCCTACTTAGAGGTTAGATGATTAAAAATGAACACAAAAATTCAAAGCAAAAAAATAATTTCTAAGCAAAAAACCCTTCACGTGGATACAAAAAAGGGAATAAAAGATTAATAAGAGAAGTTAAATTAAATGGATGAGGGACTGAGGAAAAAAACAATGGACTAAAAATATACACAAACATATATAGATGTGTGAGCACGCGAACGGGGAGTTTTTTTCGGGCTTAAAGTAAAAAAGAGAAGGGCTGGCAGCAGATGGAAATGAAAAAAAAATAAAAATTAAGGAAAGGATAAAATTAGACAAGTTAGAGAAAAAATATGAAGAAGGAAAAAAGTATATGTAAACAACCAGCAGTTGAAATGAAGGACATTGTGGACATTTTTTGCTTTTTTGAGAGGAAAATTTTTGTTTATTCAACGTTTAGCTTTTGAATTGTGTGGAGGGTTTTTAGATAAATAATTTATTTAATAATTAAAAATATTGCAGATTTATTTTAATGAAAGTAAAAGATTCAGTCGAACCTCAAACTGCAGTTTTTCCAATAAGTTAGTTCATTAACCTTCAATTTCAAATGCAGTCTATAAAAAATTTTGTCGGATATAAAACAAAATCCGAAATATTATTGTGATTTTCCCGAAAATTTATTGTGAAATCTTTTTTATAAAATTGATAAATTAGAATTAATAAATTAAAGAGATAATAATTTAAAATTATTATATTTAAAGATTTGTATTTATGCTTGAACAGCAAAAATATACCTACTTTTTTAATTAGTGTGAATTTTTAATAGTTTATTTTTTTTAGCAAAAACCCGTTTTTTGTCCCAAGGTTGTACTTAAAATCGGGATTATTTTCAAAAAACATTTTTAAAATATTTAAGGAAGATTGAAAAAATCGATGGTGAATTTTTCTTTCAAAATATGAAAACTCGAGAAATTAATGAAATATTGAGTTAAAAATATACAAATTTGGATAGGAGAGACATTTTGAAAAATTAAAAAAATATTAATAAAAATAATAATTTTAACATCAAAACAAAAATATTTTTTAATATGAAGAAGGAAGAGAGAAAAGCATATTTATTTATACAGCTTGTTAAAAATTGTTTTGATCAAAAATATGAGTCAAACATGACTCAAAACAACAATTTTTTTAAAAAGATCTTATATAAAAATAAATAAATGTATATTTGTGTTTTAATAAATGTGTGTGTAGTTTGGATATTAAGAAATTAACAAAAATAATATAAAATAAAAATATTAGAATATTCCATAAAATAGCTAAAATCTAAACTCTAAAATATTCTAACCGAGTTTGCGTCGTTATTACGAATTAAAAGAAAATTCTTTATAAATTATGAAAAAGATTTAGAAAATAAGGAATTCTGTGGATATCTAAAACTCGAAAGATTTTTTTGCGTTTCGATAATAACTTTAAATTTTAATTTGATTTAAAATAAAATTAAAATAATTTCAGAATTTATTTTTGCATTATAAAATGATGCATGAATAAATTATTAGAGATTTTAAATATTCCCCCTTATACTCCACCCAATGCTTTTCGTTTCTACATTTTAAGCAAAAACAAATTAACACTATAAAATTATTTTTAAACACTATTTTTGTCTTTTTTTCCTTTTATCGCTTCCGAAGGTTTTCGAGAGAGAGAGTTTTTGGCCAATACCCCAAAAAACTCCATATTCTGCATTTTGTCGATGTACTTTTTTGCTTATTATTTAAGGCTTCCTTTCTATTTTTGCATTCCTCTATTGCTTTATAATCGTAAACAAAACCAACTTCTAAGTTTTCACTTATTATTTTCGCTTACTAGCTTACTGCTTTATTCTCTTCTTTTTTGTGTTTTTAAAGTAAAATAAAAATAAGAAAAGGAAAAAATTAAAATTCTAAGATAAAATTCTAAAATGTACATATATATTTAATTATATATGATATTGAGGTTTTTTGGGGAGGTGATGTGGTAAAAAAAGGACTTTCGATCAAGATAGAAACTTTTACCATAATATAGAAGAATTGGGAGAGAAAATCATTTACAGGCAACTTTTGATATTAAATTATTAAGTTTCTTGTTTTGCTTAACCATATTAAGGTTTGATAAAATGAAGTGATATCTTCCTTTCCTAATTTAATCAGAAAATTCTTAATTTCTTTTTTTATTTTCTTCTCAGCAACCCTATCCCTCCTCCCTCCCCCCTTCGAGACTGGCTTGAAAAACAAACAAACATCTCTTTTTTGTACTTTTTTTTTCACATATGTTCTCCCTCTCCCCTCCATTCTTCTAAAAAATCACAAGTTTTCTCTTTTCCCTATCATTTAATGTGAAGAACGTGGAACGGATTGATTATAAAGGAGAACGGCGTTCGATTTATATGAGAGAAATTTAATTTAAAAAATAAAGAGAAAAATCGCCACAAAAAAAATTTTTTTACACAAAATAATCTGATAAAGATAATTTAAAAAAAAGTGAAAAACATCATTTATTTGCACACAATTAAATTTTAATAAAAATAGAATTTATTAAAAATAGGAGGTTAAGTATATTGAAAAGTAGGGTTGAATGAGATCGGGATCCCGACCTAAAATCAGGATCGGGATTTTGGAATGCGACCTCGAACCCGATCCCGCTCAACCCTATTAAAAAGGTATAGATTTTTTAAATTAAAATTTATATTTTCCAAAAATAAATTGGACTTTTAAATAAATAAATAATGACTGGAAGAAGTAATTTTAAGTATTTTAAAATTTAAAGTAAAACAAGAGGGAAAGTGTTTCTTAAATTAAATTAATAGAAGATTAAAAGAGAGATAACATTATGAAGGTTTCTTCCTGACAGCTATAGGGTATATTTTCTGAAATATTTCCTGAACAGTTTTTAAAAATCCCCTCACAATTTTTGATTAATTATTTTGTAAATTTTTATTTAAAAAAGTTACTTTTTAAAATAACAAAAATATTTTTTAAAATAATTATTTTGAATTTAATTTTTATAAAAGGACATATTTAAAGGTTTTTTTTGTCATGGTTACCATTATTGTATTTAACAGAAAATTACTAATTGTCATATGATAATGACAAAGGTTATAATTTAAACGTTCTGAAATTGTTAATTATTTAAATAAAGTATATGTACTTTAATTAATAAAATAAATAAATAAATTTAATTTGTCTGGAATTTAAAGTAAAAATTAAATAAATACATATATTTTTTTAACATTTTATCTAAAAATAAGAGAATACATAGTTTATTTCAGAGATGCATTAAAAAGTTATTTTAAAATATTTAATGAAAAATTGGGAAACAAAAATTAATTATTAAAAAAATATTAGTGTTTATTACAAAAATTAAAAATATTTATTTATTAGACTAGTAGACAATAATTAATTATTAATTCTTTTGTGAGATCATTAGTATAATTCGTTTGCAAGATAGAGAGGTTTAAAGGAAAAATTTGTGAGATCGGAAAATTAAAAAATTAAAAACATTAATTTTTACGCACAAAGTTGTTTTCCTACTAGAAATATTTTGTTAAAAAGTTTAAGAATCTGAGAAATCACAACAAAAAGTTAGCAAACCAAAAATAATTTCTTAAAATAATTTTTGCTAACTTTTTGGAAATTTGGCTCAAAATTATATTTTTACATAAAGTAGAGTAAAATGATTATTTGCAACAATGAAGAATAATGAAAGGCTAATATTCCCCCAACAATTCGGACTTTGTACTTCAATTCCCAACACAAAGTACATTTCAAAAAAGGTTGTTTTCCGCTTTTTGCCTTCCATCTCTCAACAAATGATGATTTTTAATGGTCATTCCCCGACCTCGCTCGACCACCTTGCTGAGAGAAGGGAAAAATAAAGCCTTTGTAATTGTTGGGAGAAATAAAGAGTCTGGTTAGAGGGGGAGAGTATTTCACAAAGCCTGAGGAAGAAGAATAACCAAGTTAAAATTTTTAAATTAATTTCAAAAAATTTATTTCATTTCAGCCGGTTCTCCAGTTATTTCCATCTCTACTCTCTCATTATTATCATTTTCCTCCTCTCCAAAAATTACAGCTTCAAAAGGGCTATTAGGCCCATTAGGAGAGGAAGAAATTGGTGTTGTTGTTATTGAACGACAAAAACTTCCAACAATTCCACTATTTCCAAACCCATTTGCTGAACAATTTGAATTACTTGAACTTCCACAAGTTTTAGTGTTTGTCGAGGTATTTCCGTCTCCGTTACTACTGCCAGTTACACAATATTTCTTTTGACGAGCTCGGGAGTTCTGAAAAATATTTTGTTTATTTATACTGTTTATTTAGAAATTTTTTTGAAAGTGAAGAATGCTAAATACTTAAATATTTAAAAAATATTTTCTTTTATTTCGCAAATAAATCTATAAGAGCAAGATTCTACACATTATTCACTTGATATAAGAGGTGGGGTCCGATTTCCGAAAAAATTTTGATTTCCGATTTCTGACTTTTAAGCCAGTTCGATTTCCGACACCACTGACCGTTCCGACCCAACTCTGCTATTTTAATTATGTACCTGAAACCAAACTTGAGTCACACGCTTTGTCAACCCAGTCAATCTAGCAATTCGTTCAAGATCTATAATAAAAGATAATTTACTTAAATAAAGTTAAATGAATAATTTAAAAAATTAATCAAAAAGTATAATTAAATCAAAATAAAAAATAGATAACCGGCCCCATCCGGATTACTGTCGATTTTAAAATTTTCTTGTAAAATAGAAAGTTGTTCTTCACCAAAGGTTGTACGTATTCGTTTAGTTTTTGGTTGGCTACCTAAAAAATATTTTTTTTAAATTTAAAATATAACAAACATTGTTCACCCAAAATTAATTCCATATAATGTATTTTACAAAGTAATCTTGGAACTAAGCCATAACCATTCGCTTCATGAATTTCTGATTTTCTTAAAACAGTGTCATCCAATACAAACGGATCGTTGGTATTAAATTGTCTGTGACAATATTCACATTTAAAACAAGTTAAGTGGTATATCCATTGACGTGCTCGTCTAATCCAAACTTTTGCTGGTATTTGCTTTTCACACATTGCACAATGGGGAACAATTCTATTGTTGGAACTGGAACAATAAAATTTATAACAGAGTTTCAGAACAAGAATTCATAGTCTTTTGGCCAGCTCCTTTTCCTAAAGATTGAATTCAGTACGGTACAACCCGTACTATATACTTCGGATTGTACTAGGTAATATTTTACTCTCTCATTACTTTACCATCAACTCTTATCAAAGTTTCACTCACAAGTGATAATATGGTGCTATAAAAGCTTAGCTTTATCATACTTCTTATCAACAACACAATACTACTTCGTCACAAAACTCGTATCTTCGATTGCTGCACGATGGACATATCTTCGGTATCTCCAGAGGCGATCCGCATGCTCGTGTTCGGCTGTCAATATCTGGTGATGTTCTTCGTTGCAACCATGCTCGCCGCGCAATGCTGCAAGAAGAAGAAGAAGGCTCCAGGTACAGAGATGAAACCACCACCGGAAGAAGGAGCAGCAGGGCCACCATCAGCAAAATCAGCTGCAAAGCCGCCCGCGTGAGTTTTATTTTTTATATTTCAAATTCATGTAATTCATACTTGATATTTTTTCATTTTAGAAAGCCTGCAGCAGCGAAACCTGGAGCAGCGAAACCACCTGCTGGACCTGGCGCTCCGAAACCTGGTGCACCTCCGGCCGCTCCTGGCGCTCCGAAACCTGGTGCTCCTGGCGCCCCTGGCGCTCCTGGTGCGAAGCCTGGTACTCCTTCCGCTATTGCAAAGGCAGCTGAGGCAGCTAAAAAAGTGAGTTTTACTGAAATTTTAATACGCTTCATGTACAAAATGTATAAATAAATTAATTGTTTTTTCAATTTAGTCTGGCGTTCCTGCTGGTCCTGGTGCTCCTGGCGGTCCTCCACCTCCTGGTGCTAAACCAGGCGCTCCTCCTCCACCACCTGGTGCAAAGCCTGGCGCTCCACCTGCTCCTGCTGGTGCTAAGCCTGGCGCTCCACCTGCTGCTGCTAAGCCTGGTGAGGACAAGAAGGACGACGACAAGAAGAAAGAGGACGACAAGAAGGACGATGCAAAAGCTAAGGGCCCAGGAGATGGAAAGTCATCGAAGGCTGGAGATGATAAGCCACCGGCGGATAAGGCTGCTGAGGGAGCGGACAAGAAAAGCGCTGCTGGAGCCGAGAAACCAGGAGAGAAATCGAAGAAAGACGACGTGAGTTTAAAAAAATATTTTTTGAATTGCTTAAATTTACGTTTTATTATTACAGGCTGACAAAGACAAACCTGCGGAAGGCGCTAAGGATGAGGAGAAGAAAGAGGGTGGCGATGATGAGAAGAAGGAGGGCGGTGATGAGAAGAAGGAGGGCGGCGATAAGAGCGAGAAGGGAGCGGAAGAAGGCAAGAAGGATGAGAAGGAAGAAGGCGGCAAGGAAGAGGATGAAGGCAAAGGCGAAGAAGGAGGAGAGGAATAATCAGAATATCACAACTATTCCCCACTTCTATTCTCCCCTTATCACCTTGTAATGTAAATAGGAAACTACTATCTAAATGTTCCCCCCTCTAAATTTCTTCACTCTGAATTGTCCTTTACCGTATTGGTGTCACATTGTCAGGTTGTATGTATATACCCAAATATATTATTTACTCATCCCAATACCACATTGCTATTCTTGTGTTTCCCGCTGTTGTGATTTCTATGCTAATGTGTATGTATGTATAATATATATGCTTTGCTAATTTTTGTGAGTTAACGATGAATAAATTGTATTAATGTAAAAAATTTTGAATTTTATTAAGTGCCAGATTTGGTGATTAAACCGGTTATTAAATCAAAGTCAGACGAGTAAACCAAAGTCTGACGGGTAGAAAGATGGGATTTCTTTTTTTACCCCTTTCTACATAGTTTAAGTTTACGACTTGCCACATTAGCTTTAACGATTTAATTTCTCTTATCCCAATTTCTCCTTAATACAACAACTAGGAGTGCTTTAGCGAGTCCTTAAAGGACCTTGAAGAAGCTAACCCTTTTTAAAATAAAAACAAAACTTACTCCATCATCGTCTTTGCATACTTTCCATAACAATTACAGCAATATATTTTGTTATCGTTTACAAAACATTTATCTTCTGATTTTAAATCTAAATTACACACAGAACACTTTAAATTAAAAAAAATATTTTTTTAATAATTACTAAAAGCAAATTTACATTTAAACATTTTAAGTGATAAAATTGTTGTTTTTGTTGTTGAGTATTTTCTTCTTTTAAATTTAAATTATTTTCGGATATTATTTCATTTAATTTTATTTCCTTCTTTTTTAATAAAAGCATTTCTGGTTCTTGAATTTGTTCCTTACAATGAATGCATATTGGTGGGATATTTGTTTTATTCTGAATTTAAGGAAGGTTATTAAGTAATAAAATTTCAAATTTGCTCTAAAATTTATTTAAAAAAGCACTTGTTTAACCATTTATTTTGATCAGACATAAATACAGTATAACCTGTATTAATTGCCCCCCCCCCTCGATTAATTACCCCACTTCCATTAATTACCCATACAGCGATAGATTGAAACAATAATTACCCGCCCCCTCACAAATGCCCTAAAACACGTTCAAATTTTAAACCTCGTATAATTACCCTCCTCGATTTTACTCCCTCCAATAATTACCCAGGGTAGTTATTAAAGGATAAAAACACTCCGAATAATTCTAGAATATATTCAAAATCTACCTCTTCATTTATTGCTGTTGGGGTGTTAACAAGTTGTTCTGATTTTATTACATCTTTTATCTATTTAATTAAAATAGTTTTTTCTTCAAAAAATATTTTAATTATTTACCATATCATTTGCCTTTAAAAGCCCAATTTGTTGATATAACAAAGCCTTTTCTTTTTCATTATTTTCATCAATATTTAATATTTGATTTAATTGTTTTGTTTCACACATTAACTGATTTGTATTATTAAATCTTTCTCTTCGACGTTTTCTTGTACTAGATTGAATACTTCCATTTAAACGACGTGAAGTTAGCGACTTCTTTGTGTTTACTAAATTTAAGTTTTAGTGAATATTTTAAAATAAAAGGGGACTATAAATTAAATAATGATCACATATGTATTTTTTAAATCTCTAAACCTAAAAATCTTCAAAAAAGAAAAGTTGGAATAATTAATAAAAAAAATAACCAGAATTTCCGTATTTTCCTGATAGTGCGACCGGTCGGTTTATTTTTCATTCTCCCTCTAGGGTGTCGGTTTATTAGAAGGGGTCGGTCTAATAGAGAGAGTCGCACTATTAGAAAAAATACGGTATTTCAGAAGAGATAAGCTTAGCTTTTTTTTGTGCTAAAGGTTATAATTAAGAAATAATTAAAATTTATTTTAAATTAAAATAACCAAGATTTGATTTTCTATTTGACGAAATAGACAAATTATCTGTTGAATTTATATTTGAATTGTTTGATAAAAATTGGGGGATATTGTTGTTGTTGTTATTAAATATTTTTGTTTGTTGTTCTGAAAATTCTAATGACGAAAATTGTTTAGTTAAAGGTAGGGAAGGGGAGGATTGTTGAAGAAGAAAATTTGGATTGTTTAAGGATGTTGGGGGATATAATGGAAATTCTGTTGGTGATTTTGAAGTTAAAGTAGAGGAGGAGGTTGGGGTTGTTATTAAAAGTAATTCATCTGGAAATTTGTTTTTTTATTAAAAGATTTTAACTAGGGTTGTTGGCGACCGGTTATTAACCGGTACCTCCGGTTTTCGGTTAATCCCAATTTTAGAAACCCTGTTTTCGGTTTTGAGTTTTAAGCAAATACCGGTTTTATTTTTGGGGGAATTTTTAATAAAATCACTCATTTTCACAAATTTCCGGTTTTCTGTTTTTAAAATTTTCTAAAAACGGTTAATCTTTGGCAAAAAATTTCAAAAATTTCGGTTTTAAAACCGATCGCCAACAACCCTAATTTTAACTAAAAAATAAATAAAGTTAGGAGATTAAATAATCAAAAATAAGGTAACAAAGGATAAAGATTTTTAGATATAAACAATTTTTACTTTGTTGTGTTGATTGTATACTATTTAATTGTTGTGTTAAATAATTGTCATTTTCCCCAATCATATTACTGTAAGAGGAGAATTGATCTGATAAAGAATTTGTTTGTAAATCGAGTAGAACAGAATTATTTTGTGTTTGGATTTTCTTTAAAATAATTAAAGAATAAATTAATGAAAAAGATTTTCTAAATTTTGTAATTTTTCTTCTACTTATAAAAAAGAAGAAAACAAAAAATCCCCTAAATTTTGATAAATATTTTTAAATAAAATTAATTAACATGTTCTTCATAAATTTGTTGATTTTGTTGAAGAAAATCTGTTGAAATATCGGTGAAGGGCACAATTCCATAAAATTGATTAAATTCTTGTTTCTGAAAAAGTTGAGAATTTTGACAAATATTTATATTTTCATTCCAATTTTGTGAAGATAAAAGAGGAGTTGGCTCGGAAGCTTGTTGAAAAAAAGGAAGTTTTTGTTGGTGAATTCCTTCCTCTCCTCCAACAATTGATGTATTTAGATTTTGCATAGTTGTTTAGAGGAAGGCAAAAAATGATGAAAATTTTTTTTAATAAAATTTAAGGAATGTCTGAATTAAATAAATTTTGTGGAGGACCCGAAAATATTTTATTTACATATCCAAATAAAATTTAAATTATTTAAATAATATTATTGCCCAAAAATATCTTTTAATAAATAAATCTTTGTATTTTTAATTAATTTTTTAAGTTAGGTAGCTTTAAGTTTATAGAAACTTGTGACAATTAATGGAAGTTAAAGATAAATATTTATTTTATTTTTATTTGTTTCCTTCATCAAAAATATGAGTTGGCATGAAATTTTAAACTTAAATAAATAATTTAGGCATCCCATTCACATTGCTAATTACAACAATAAACTTAAAAGTATTATTTAAAAGTATTATTTATAAAAGTATTATTTAAGAATTTATTTATATGCCAAGGAAGAATATTTATTTAAAAATTAATAAAAATATGAAAATGTTTTAAAACTAACAAAATAACTTCAGGATGGTTTACTGTATATTAACAAAACGGAAGGGAGAAAAGGGAAGACGACGACGAATAAACCAGCCAGCATAAAAACTCTCCATTCAAGCGGCATAAAATTTTGAAGATTCCTTATAAACCTTCGACAATGTCCCGCCTATTTGTATATATCTCACAAACAGGCTCATTAAGAGATTTTCTTTGAAATAACAATGAAAAACAAAAATAAAAAGAAAATGTATATTTTGTATATTTTTGAATATAATATTTTAAATTAAAAAAAATTTTTTTGAAGACTATATACACTGCTCCACATAACTATAACCTCACCCTAAATTTTCGAATTTTTTAACTTCTACCGAATCAATCGGGCTGATTTTTATTTTATATTAATTATAGCAGGTAACAATTCATATAAACCCAAGAAATCGAAAAAATTTTTATTCGAAAATTTTTTATCCAATTTTTTCAAAAAACACCCTCCACATAACTATAACCTCACCTTCAGAAATCATATCAGCAATGTTCGAAAAGTTTCGCAAAAAATCACGTAAACTTTTCCTTTGATATTAAGTAGAAAACAAAAAGAACGAAGTCTTTAAGTGCTTTTTTCATCGAGATCCAATATCTCGAAAATCAACGGGAAATGGGGGTACAGTAACTAAAAAATATCTTCACAAGTGTAGACTGTAGATAAAATTTTTTATTATAGTCCATCTGAAATCCCACAAAATTTGCTACAAAATGCACTAGGTCCTATCCAGGACAAAAAATCTACCTTCGAGCAGCCTTGGGTTAAATGAGATGATGAATGAATTCACCCAAATCACCCCATAAAATATCATTATTTCGAGTTTCTAAATTTAACCGATTCCTCTCCAGTGATAAAATTTTTCTCGATGATAGGACTAAGTGTTTTTTGTAGCAAATTTTGTGGGATTTCAGATGGACTATAATAAAAAATTTTATCTACAGTCTACACTTGTGAAAATATTTTTTAGTTACTGTACCCCCATTTCCCGTTGATTTTCGAGATTTTGGATCTCGATGAAAAAAGCACTTAAAGACTTCATTCTTTTTGTTTTCTACTTAATATCAAAGGAAAAGTTTACGTGATTTTTTGCGAAATTTTTCGAGCATTGCTAATATGATTTCTGAAGGTGAGGTTATAGTTAGTGGAGGACATTATAAAACTAAACATTATAAAAAATGTTTAGTTCAAAAATATTAAAGGTAGAAGCTATATTTAAACTAAGGTAGCTCCCCGAACCTGCGGGGTTGGAAGTGTCGGGGATCGGGGTTTACCGGGGTAGAGCCTTCGGGATTCAGGTCGTGGTTTTTGCTAAAAAATCGTCTGGGTACGTAGACGGGAGCTACCCCAATTTAAACGATTAATGATTACAAAATAGATTTTAATTTAAAAATATTTTTTAATATTTAAAATTGTTATGTCTTTAATCATCTTCCTTCAAATATTTACAGTAAAATTTTCTTCAAATTTTATAACAATTACATAACAGCAATATTAGTCTTCACTGACCGTTCAAATAATTTTTCAAATACTTCAATTGCCACTTTATTTTATATATTACAGAATCCAGAGTGGACAGATTTTAAAAATAAGGGCAGATGTGTTACAAAAATATATTTAAGAAAGAAGACAGAAAAATCTTTCTTTTACAGATCCTCTCTTATCCTATGATATAATAATACTTAATTCTTCGTTTAAAGTACTTTAGTAAAATAACATACATATAATTATATAGAGAATTGCGGGAAGGATAAAATGTAGTAGAGAAATAAATTTATATATCTATATACTAATTACTATACATATACATATTTAAAAGAAATTTTGAATATAATTTTTAAACATTTAAGCGTATGGCAGTAATTGTAGTACTACTTTTACTGTGTTGTGCAAGTGATATAGTAAGTCGTAGTAGATCTCGAAGTTTTAAAATCAACTTCCTGTATTATCTATTCACAGCCTTACATTAGCTAACTTGCATTTAATTACTTCTCTAAATGTTCTAATGGCATTTATTTTTGAAAATTATTTAGAAAACAATTTATTTTCAACAACTAAAATTTAAATTTAAAATACAAAATATATAAAAATGTTAATTTTAATAAAATAATATATTCGTTCACAACAATAATTTCAATTTAAATAATTTAAAATTCAAAAGTCAACCAAAGAAAAGATTACTAAGTTAATGTCCAAAAATCCAACAAAATGAGGTACAAAATGTGTTTACAAATTGGTGCCCTTCAGGGATTGCACAATTCCCTTTCCTTTTCTTTATTTTCACTATTTGACCGGAAAAAGATGACAAATTAGCTGCTAAATGGAATTCTTTGGATTAGAAGAATTAGAGAAGGAGGGGGAGGGGAAGGGGGGGGGGAAGAATTAATACAATTATATTGACCTCTACATATAATTTAATTTAATTTTTGTTGTCCTCTTTAACCTCTTTTTTATTTCCTAAATCTTTTATTAATTTAACAAAATGATTGCTAAACATTTTATTGCCAAAGCTATTTTTCTAAGAAGCTTTTTAATTTTGAAACATTTTACACTTTAAAGGCGGGGTTAGGTAATTTTTTTAAACAGGATCCTTAAACCGGATTTCCGGATATCCGGCCTTTTTTCGGATCCGGATATCCTAATCCGCCATCCTTATTAAACACCTCATAAAATTGTTAAATAAAATTAAGATTTTATTAATTTTGTTTGTAGCATATAATTAATTATTTAAAAATACAATCTAGAATAATCCAATTGTTATTCTTATTTTTAAAAAGATTACAAACAATAACATCAAATTTTGTTTAAATTTAGAAAAGATAAAAATAAAAATCTTTTTTAAAAATTATTTTCTTTCTCCTTGAGTGAATTCCTCTAAATTTGATTTAATTTATTTTGTTTTCCCTCGCCCCCTCTTCACAATCCCTTCCTTCTTTTCTAGTTGGAAAAAAAACTAAAATTAAGTTAAAAAGAGAACAAATCAAATTTAAACGGCTCAACGGTCAAAATTGGCCTTAAAATTTTTGAGATTTACTAGAAAGTTTGTTTAGTTAAAGAAAATTCATGGATAACAAAAGAAAAATATACATATAAATATTTATATTAATACAAGGTGTGAGCATAATGACGTAGCTTTTGCTTCTATCATAACTTTTCCCAAATTTAATAAAAACAGATTATTTTGCTTGTAATACATTAAGAAAATTAATATACCAAATAATAAATATATTATAGAGCATGGATATCGGAATCATGGATAATGGAGAAGACATGTATTAATCTCTTAAAATTTATTTATAGTAAATGCCCCCCCCCCCTTTCTTCACTGGGAGATTAAAGTAATAAAAGTTAATTTTAAAATATTTACAAGAATTGAAGAATTTATGGACGATGGATAAATAGGTAGTTTCTTTTGGACTTATTAAATTTGTAATGGAAGATAAATTATTAAAAAAAATTAAATTTTAATCTCTTCATACAAAGCGCAACAATCCACAAAAAAGGAAATCGGCATTCTTCTTTTTGTGTTATTCAAATGTAAATGTTGCGCGGAGGAAGTAAAAGAAGCACAAATTAACAAATAATTTTTTTCTTTTTTATTTCAAGTATTTTTGTGTATTTTTTAATTCCTTTTTTTAAATAGAGTTGTTCTTAACGACATACAAATTTTACCGCAAATTCTTTTTTCTTTTCTTTTCAACAGTTAATCTTTTCATAACAAAAGAAATTTAAAAAATCAAAAAATTAAAGGATTTTATTGAAAAATAAAATTTATTTTTAATCAAATTTTGAGAAAAAAATAAAATTTTATAAAATTTTTAATTTAAAAGTTAAAAAAAAGCAAATACTTTTATTTTTTTTGTTATGTATTTTATCAAGCTAAGACGTATAAAAAATCTTTAGAGATAAATAATATGTTCACAGTATTTAGTCAGAATTATCAAATTTTCCAAGCCTGATATTAAGATTTTATCAGAACTAAATACTCGTTTTATCATTTTTTACAATTTTTCGGGGCCCAAAGATTAATTACGCCTCCATCAAGAGGTCGAAATAGAAATTACACAGGTTAATTATTCGGAAAACAGTAAAAGAATTAAAATATAATTCTTCTTTTCTTCCATTTAATTTTAAACAAATTCTTTCAAAAACTTTTTGTTTAATTTCCATTCAAAATTATTATATTAACTTAAATACTAAAATTCCACGTAGTTTTAAAAAATATTAAAATATAATCCATAAAAGAATGACGTGAAGAAATAAAAGAAATCGATATAAAATATTTCAAAAAATCACTTAAGAAGGAAAAGAAACCTTTTGAAAATTGATAAGAATTTTTATTCATAAAATAAAAGAAAAGAAAAAAATTTTGTAGAAAAGCTTAAACCTCAAAAAATTGAAAAGAAAAATTTTTTATGGATTTTGAAAGGAGAATGAACAAAAGGTGTGTTTGGAGTAAGAGAAAAGAGAAAGAAAAGGTAAATATTCTGTTGATGACACGTGAAAATATTTATTGTAAAGTTGGCTTTCTATTGACTACTATTTTATTTTTTACTTACTAGTTTGTTTGTTGACAACCACCACAAGGTATTAGTAAAGGTATTCTCTCTTCTCTTTTATCCTTAAATATTTTTTTGGTTTTTCAGCCAGAAATAATTTGTTAAAATTAAAATATTTTAATAGAAAATTAAGGGTACAGCCCAAGTAGACGCACGGCCATAACCTGCTTCAAGATTTTCAAATCTGTCGAACTTAAGTATTAAACAATTCTCTCATCGAGCTAAAGAGATTGGTACCAAAATTGATAAGAGCCAGAAATATTCCAGCAGGTTATGGGTTTGCGCCGTTATGGCAGCGCGCCTACTTGGGCGTGTCCCAAAAATTAATTTTTAATTAATTTTAAATAATTAAATAATTAAATCAATAATTATTTATGTATAAATCTTTAAATTAATTTTAATTTAGACAATACTCGTGTTTAAAAATTAATTTAAAAAAATTTTTCCTAATTTTATAAATTGGATTAGTATTCTCTCCTCTTTTCTATTTTTAAATTTAACTCTCCTATTTATTTTTAAATTAAAAATATTTTTAATTTTAATACTCATTTACATTGTTTATTCTTTTCTCTTTCCCTTTTCAATCACATTTATTCAATCTGTCACCACAAAAATTGTTTTAAATTTTTTATCATTAAATATATATATTTAAGAAAAAATGTTAACAATATTTACATTATCAGTTAACTATTTTATTTATTTATAGGAATTTTTAAAAGAATATTTAACCTTTAATTGATATTTACTATATTTTTCTCCCTTTTTATTTTCTTAATTTAGGTAAAAAAATAAATTTAAAATTCGAACGAATTGAATTTTTCAAAATTTTTACAATTATTTTTGATAAAAGCAACAAATTAAAAATTAAATATGGGATTTGCTTATTTAAAAACACTTCATGGTATTTTGAGTGTTCTTCAAGTGGTAATCTTTTAAATATTTAAAAATAAAATTAACTTAAACCTTCATTTTGTATGCTTATTTGCGTATAAATACATCTCACCTATATCCAATTATTTATAACGGAGTCGTTACTATCGAGAATTTTATATAACGAACACTTTGAGATAATTTAGTAGGGGTATTTCTTTCGATATCCAACTTTCTTTATCTTACCAATCTTTGGATTGTCATTTCCAAGTAGTATTTGAGTCTGCCTAGCTCGCAGTAATGGGGAGAAAAATAGGTAATCGGAGAGTTGAACAAAAACGGGAGGTAATTTCGGGAGAATGGCTAATTGTAGAGGCGGGGGGGGGGGGGGGGGGTAAGGGCGTTTTCGAGGAAACGGGTAGAAAATTGCCTCACTGCCCCGTTTATCCATGAATAAACAGGCCAGAACCTAGGAAATTTCCAAAATCTACATATACATAATATTTTGAATCAAAACAAAATTTAAACAGTTTTTGGGTTTAATTGCTCTATTGGCTGGTTATTTACTTTGGGATGACACAAACGATGAACTTTATTGGCTTTTTTATATGGGACAAAAGCCTCTAGCAACCGTTGTTTTAGTTATTTTGTCATTAAGTTGGTTATATGGATTGGGAATATTATTTCAACAATTATTTGTTAATGATTTACTTGAAAAAATTGGAAAACCAAAGGTTCTTAATTTTGAGAATTTTTGAGTAAAAATACTTTAGATAGTCACACCCAGAGTCTTTTAATTAATCCTTAGAGGAAGACCTAACTAACTTTCTTTGTTTTTTCTGTTAAATAATTTCTCAATTCCTCGTTATAAATAGAATAGCTCTCCCCTTTTTGTAAATGGATATAGAATCAGGGAGAATTCAAGTGAGAGAGGCAGTGTTTGGTGGGGAAGCTTGACTTCCTTCTTCTTAAAAACTTAAATTTATAAATCTTCCCCCCTAATATATTTTTAGTTACTTTTTATGCATTTATTAAATGGATTACTTATTTCTGGCATAGCAATAATTGAAAGTTTGTATTTAAATCAAGAAATTGGTGGACATAAAGGAGGAGGAGATACTCCTCATCCGTCTCCAGAGCCTGGGGCTCTTTCACTAAATTATTTACCGCGATTAATTGTTGTGACGGTAATTTAAATAAATAAATATTTTTCACGAAAAATTATTTTTTTAAAAAGGTTTGTTGTTGGGTTATTGTGGCAAGTTATATTGGCCAATTTATTTATGTATTACTTCAATAAATACAAGATAATTTTGAAGATTAATGAAAAGCTAAAAGAAAAGAGGCAATTTAAAAGAAAGCTTTCATTGATCTCTCTCTCTCTCCCAACAATTTTTAATTTAAATTTTGCCTTATTTTTACAAATTTATTTAAAAATCAAATAGCAATAAAAATAAAAAAATTTTTTCATTTGTATTTTCTTAAAATTTTATAAACTTCTTTTGATGATATTCTAAAAGCTTGTCGACGAACAATTGTTGATTGGAAGGATTGTAATTTTGAATTATTTTGGATATTTTTGGCGTTTTTAATTATTTTTGCTTTTATTGAGTCAGATGGTGATTCTAAACGGGCATATTGTCTTAACAATTGTGAACGAAGGATTAAAAGTTTCCATGCCTCCGTTGAAGAGAGAGGCTTAAAAATATAATTAATTTTGATTTTAAAAAATAAAAATCATAAAATTAATTAGTTAAGAAGAGGATTCCAGTTAAGGATTAGATAGATTTTTAAAATTATTTTAATCAAAATTAGAACACATTAAATTTTTAAGAGGGGATGTGTCAATTAAAATATTTTCGAGACATAAAATGTCAAGTTATTGATGCAATAGAATATCAAGAAAATTTGTTACAAATCAGTTAAAATTTAGTATTTAGAGACCGGGCTGGGAGGGCGTACGAGAATTGTGTTCGATTAAAAAAAACATCCTCTCGATAACCGAGATTTTATTCGAGATCTTGTCTCGGTTCGATCCTTAATTTAAATATCAAAAAATTACCTCTTCTTTATCTCTTTCTACAAATTCCCGTTTATCTGTCAAATATTTTGTCCCAATTTTTTCTTTTGCTTTTTCTTTGCCTCCAAATGTTGCTATCAATAAATTTTCTTCAGGCGTCAATGGAAAAGTAAAATGCCTTTCTGGAGGGGGTAAGGCATAAAATTCAATGGGGGAATCACAAGGAATGTTAAAAAGACCTATCATTTTTTTTGGAATGTAAAAAAATAATTTTATTTAAATATTCGAGAGCAAATGGAATTTGAAAAAATTATGTATATTCCCGAACTTTTGTGTTCATATTGAAGTTATTAAATAAGTGTGAATGATTGCTTTATATGTATATAAGCAAATAATGTTTAAAAATTCTTAATTTAACAATACTTTGTTAGTAAGGCCTAACAAATAAAATCTGATTGTTTACATAAGCATATTTAAATTATGACTAAACAATTAGTATGTATGATTTCTCTCAATGTTATCGATTAAATTTGAGTTTTACAATGATAAAAAAAATTTGACACAGCTAAACTAAGGCAAGTCGGTATTATAGGCACAAACCTAATATTGTTCTTAAGCTTAAGAAGGGTATTTAATTAATACTCTAAATCTTTATAGGGGATCTTTATTTATTAGGGAATCTTGGTAAAAGTAAGAACAATAATAGGCTTTGTTATTCTAGAACAGCCATCGATATTTAAGTATTATTTATTTGGGAATCTTGGTAAAAGTAGGAACAATAATAGGCTTTGTTATTCTAGAACAGCCATCGATATTTAAGTATTATTTATTAGGGAATCTTGGTAAAAGTAAGAACAATAATAGGCTTTGTTATTCTAGAACAGCCATCGATATTTAAGTATTATTTATTAGGGAATCTTGGTAAAAGTAAGAACAATAATAGGCTTTGTTATTCTAGAACAGCCATCGATATTTAAGTATTATTTATTAGGGAATCTTGGTAAAATTAAGAACAATAATAGGCTTTGTTATTCTAGAACAGCCATCGATATTTAAGTATTATTTATTAGGGAATCTTGGTAAAAGTAAGAACAATAATAGGCTTTGTTATTCAAGAACAGCCATCGATATTTAAGTATTATTTATTAGAGAATCTTGGTAAAAGTAAGAACAATAATAGGCTTTGTTATTCGAGAACAGCCATCGATATTTAAGTATTATTTATTAGGGAATCTTGGTAAAAGTAAGAACAATAATAGGCTTTGTTATTCTAGAACAGCCATTGATATTTAAGTATTATTTATTTGGGAATCTTGGTAAAAGTAGGAACAATAATAGGCTTTGTTATTCTAGAACAGCCATCGATATTTAAGTATTATTTATTAGGGAATCTTGGTAAAAGTAAGAACAATAATAGGCTTTGTTATTCTAGAACAGCCATTGATATTTAAGTATTATTTATTAGGGAATCTTGGTAAAAGTAAGAACAATAATAGGCTTTGTTATTCGAGAACAGCCATCGATATTTAAGTATTATTTATTTGGGAATCTTGGTAAAAGTAGGAACAATAATAGGCTTTGTTATTCTAGAACAGCCATCGATATTTAAGTATTATTTATTTGGGAATCTTGGTAAAAGTAGGAACAATAATAGGCTTTGTTATTCTAGAACAGCCATCGATATTTAAGTATTATTTATTTGGGAATCTTGGTAAAAGTAGGAACAATAATAGGCTTTGTTATTCTAGAACAGGCATCGATATTTAAGTATTATTTATTTGGGAATCTTGGTAAAAGTAGGAACAATAATAGGCTTTGTTATTCTAGAACAGCCATCGATATTTAAGTATTATTTATTTGGGAATCTTGGTAAAAGTAGGAACAATAATAGGCTTTGTTATTCTAGAACAGCCATCGATATTTAAGTATTATTTATTTGGGAATCTTGGTAAAAGTAAGAACAATAATAGGCTTTGTTATTCTAGAACAGCCATCGATATTTAAGTATTATTTATTTGGGAATCTTGGTAAAAGTAGGAACAATAATAGGCTTTGTTATTCTAGAACAGCCATCGATATTTAAGTATTATTTATTTGGGAATCTTGGTAAAAGTAGGAACAATAATAGGCTTTGTTATTCTAGAACAGCCATCGATATTTAAGTATTATTTATTTGGGAATCTTGGTAAAAGTTAGAACAATAATAGGCTTTGTTATTCTAGAACAGCCATCGATATTTAAGTATTATTTATTTGGGAATCTTGGTAAAAGTAAGAACAATAATAGGCTTTGTTATTCTAGAACAGCCATCGATATTTAAGTATTATTTATTTGGGAATCTTGGTAAAAGTAGGAACAATAATAGGCTTTGTTATTCTAGAACAGCCATCGATATTTAAGTATTATTTATTTGGGAATCTTGGTAAAAGTAGGAACAATAATAGGCTTTGTTATTCTAGAACAGCCATCGATATTTAAGTATTATTTATTTGGGAATCTTGGTAAAAGTTAGAACAATAATAGGCTTTGTTATTCTAGAACAGCCATCGATATTTAAGTATTATTTATTTGGGAATCTTGGTAAAAGTAGGAACAATAATAGGCTTTGTTATTCTAGAACAGCCATCGATATTTAAGTATTATTTATTTGGGAATCTTGGTAAAAGTAGGAACAATAATAGGCTTTGTTATTCTAGAACAGCCATCGATATTTAAGTATTATTTATTTGGGAATCTTGGTAAAAGTTAGAACAATAATAGGCTTTGTTATTCTAGAACAGCCATCGATATTTAAGTATTATTTATTTGGGAATCTTGGTAAAAGTAGGAACAATAATAGGCTTTGTTATTCTAGAACAGCCATCGATATTTAAGTATTATTTATTTGGGAATCTTGGTAAAAGTAGGAACAATAATAGGCTTTGTTATTCTAGAACAGCCATCGATATTTAAGTATTATTTATTTGGGAATCTTGGTAAAAGTAAGAACAATAATAGGCTTTGTTATTCTAGAACAGCCATCGATATTTAAGTATTATTTATTTGGGAATCTTGGTAAAAGTAGGAACAATAATAGGCTTTGTTATTCTAGAACAGCCATCGATATTTAAGTATTATTTATTTGGGAATCTTGGTAAAAGTAGGAACAATAATAGGCTTTGTTATTCTAGAACAGCCATCGATATTTAAGTATTATTTATTTGGGAATCTTGGTAAAAGTAGGAACAATAATAGGCTTTGTTATTCTAGAACAGCCATCGATATTTAAGTATTATTTATTTGGGAATCTTGGTAAAAGTTAGAACAATAATAGGCTTTGTTATTCTAGAACAGCCATCGATATTTAAGTATTATTTATTTGGGAATCTTGGTAAAAGTAGGAACAATAATAGGCTTTGTTATTCTAGAACAGCCATCGATATTTAAGTATTATTTATTTGGGAATCTTGGTAAAAGTAGGAACAATAATAGGCTTTGTTATTCTAGAACAGCCATCGATATTTAAGTATTATTTATTTGGGAATCTTGGTAAAAGTTAGAACAATAATAGGCTTTGTTATTCTAGAACAGCCATCGATATTTAAGTATTATTTATTTGGGAATCTTGGTAAAAGTAGGAACAATAATAGGCTTTGTTATTCTAGAACAGCCATCGATATTTAAGTATTATTTATTTGGGAATCTTGGTAAAAGTAGGAACAATAATAGGCTTTGTTATTCTAGAACAGCCATCGATATTTAAGTATTATTTATTTGGGAATCTTGGTAAAAGTAAGAACAATAATAGGCTTTGTTATTCTAGAACAGCCATCGATATTTAAGTATTATTTATTTGGGAATCTTGGTAAAAGTAGGAACAATAATAGGCTTTGTTATTCTAGAACAGCCATCGATATTTAAGTATTATTTATTTGGGAATCTTGGTAAAAGTAGGAACAATATTAGGCTTTGTTATTCTAGAACAGCCATCGATATTTAGGTATTATTTATTTGGGAATCTTGGTAAAAGTAGGAACAATAATAGGCTTTGTTATTCTAGAACAGCCATCGATATTTAAGTATTATTTATTTGGGAATCTTGGTAAAAGTAAGAACAATAATAGGCTTTGTTATTCTAGAAAAGCCATCGATATTTAAGTATTATTTATTTGGGAATCTTGGTAAAAGTAGGAACAATAAAAGGCTTTGTTATTCTAGAACAGCCATCGATATTTAAGTATTATTTATTTGGGAATCTTGGTAAAAGTAGGAACAATATTAGGCTTTGTTATTCTAGAACAGCCATCGATATTTAGGTATTATTTATTTGGGAATCTTGGTAAAAGTAGGAACAATAATAGGCTTTGTTATTCTAGAACAGCCATCGATATTTAAGTATTATTTATTTGGGAATCTTGGTAAAAGTAGGAACAATAATAGGCTTTGTTATTCTAGAAAAGCCATCGATATTTAAGTATTATTTATTTGGGAATCTTGGTAAAAGTAAGAACAATAATAGGCTTTGTTATTCTAGAACAGCCATCGATATTTAAGTATTATTTATTTGGGAATCTTGGTAAAAGTAGGAACAATAATAGGCTTTGTTATTCTAGAACAGCCATGATATATAAGTATTATTTATTTGGGAATCTTGGTAAAAGTAAGAACAATAATAGGCTTTGTTATTCTAGAACAGCCATCGATATTTAAGTATTATTTATTAGAGAATCTTGGTAAAAGTAAGAACAATAATAGGCTTTGTTATTCTAGAACAGCTATCGATATTTAAGTATTATTTATTAGGGAATCTTGGTAAAAGTAAGAACAATAATAGGCTTTGTTATTCTAGAACAGCCATCGATATTTAAGTATTATTTATTAGGGAATCTTGGTAAAAGTAAGAACAATAATAGGCTTTGTTATTCTAGAACAGCCATCGATATTTAAGTATTATTTATTAGAGAATCTTGGTAAAAGTAAGAACAATAATAGGCTTTGTTATTCTAGAACAGCTATCGATATTTAAGTATTATTTATTAGGGAATCTTGGTAAAAGTAAGAACAATAATAGGCTTTGTTATTCTAGAACAGCCATCGATATTTAAGTATTATTTATTAGGGAATCTTGGTAAAAGTAAGAACAATAATAGGCTTTGTTATTCTAGAACAGCCATCGATATTTAAGTATTATTTATTAGAGAATCTTGGTAAAAGTAAGAACAATAATAGGCTTTGTTATTCGAGAACAGCCATCGATATTTAAGTATTATTTATTAGGGAATCTTGGTAAA